TCATATTTTTGCTGCGTCTAGTATTTAATTTATCATATCCAGGAAGTCGAATAAAGGGAAATTTGGCGCAAACAATACCGCGTGTAGCGTCGTACGGTAGCATATTGTAGCGCATACGAGCGTCCGTACTCCCTTTTGCCGCTGATTTTCTTTCAAATACAGCTGCGGTATCAATATCTTGCTGTTTTGCTCTCCGAGGAATTTATATCGAATAAGAAATGTTTGTACTAGTTTTGTTGTATGTTATTTAACGCATATAGGGTACACACAGCGTTATACATACACAAGCTTTCGCTGACTGCTGTCAGTTTAATGAACGGTAATTTATATAGCAGATATCGACGGTGATGGAAACAGAAATCGATAGGAGACAGACATTAGCACCGCAATTGATGCTCATTAGTTGCGATGCTAATTTCTGTCTTTACGTTCCGCTCGTATGATGACCGGTCTGAATATGAGAGAAACGCGGTTGTATCTTCAATTTTAGCTTCAACTAGATGATTTATCTTCTTCGAGAATTTGCATTCTCATCGATTGCAAGCATTGGCACTTTATATATATGCACAAAATATATTGCTATGGACATATACATACATATACAAATATTATATATATAGCCTATATATATTGCAATCACGAATATTTTTATTCGTTTTCAGGAACGTCGCTATATTTTTATTTGCAGTGAATTTGAAAAGTATCACTGATATTGTCTGACAAAAAAAAATCACAGCAAAAAATACATTACTGCAAACAAAAAAATCTCTGTCATACGTACGTTTATTGAAAGAAAAGATTGCAGAGTTATCTGCATATGACGTATTTCGTATTTTCACTCATGAATCGCCAAAATAACGCCGACGTCATCTTGCGCATGTACAGACGATAAATTGCGGTTGAAGCTTACGCAAGGGGAAGAGGATTGGTCGCGGTAAAATAGTCTCGAGAAAAATCTAGGTCGTTAGGCGTCGCGGCGCCGCGTGGCGTTCAAATGACGCGTCGCCTCGTGACGAATTTCCCGGACGGCGATAAAATATACCGGGCGAAACAGCGATATGCATTTTTGAATTTTCAATTTTCCCCAAACTTGTCTCTTTGGAACTGGAGCCAAAGAAATTAAATTAAAACGAAACAAAAATGTAAATTACGATTTAGAATCGATAAAATCAATGTAATACGAAAATTATAGATGTCGTTTAAATTAGCTAAATTCATCAAAACTAATACGCTACACGATAATTGCATATGAAATATTAAATTGTGAAAGATCGTCACACAAATTGGCAGAAAGTGTAAAATGCCAGAGCTGGTATCCACCTGTTCTTGTAAATGCGCCTATGAAATATTTATTTTTCTGGAGACGATTTGTGTAGCTTGAAATACATCCTCCTGTTGGCAGTTGCAGGATTTGTCGAAATGTAGCAAATACTAATGACATTACTCCGTGAATGTGAATATTAAAATAGGACGTGAATAGAATTGATTAAATTTCGCAGCTTCGATTAAGAGACTTAATGCTTTCGCGATCTCACTCTAAAAGCTATAAACTACACTGTCTGCATTCGTTTGCAGATATTACCGCGATAACAAGAGACACGAAGGATTGCTATCGAAGTTAAACGAATTCCGTATCGAGTTGTACGAATATAAAATAGAAGAAAAATACATGGCACAACACAAAGAAAGTATTACGAACAGCGAAGGTATATTTAAGAACGTAAAATATTCTACGAAGGAAAGTGGTATTCGACAAAAATATTTATTTAGAGGAATAAATTTTCCTTTTTGCAGAATTAAGAGCATTCTTTTAGTTATGTGAGATGTAGAGACTTTTTGCGAATTCACGGAGGGAGAACTACTTACTGTTATCGCAATCGATCCGTCTTTTCTTTCTGACGAATAGTTATGTCTACTTTCCGTGACTGGTCGCCTCGAATGCCTTTTGTCGCGTACATACTTTATTTAATGCATAAGAGAAAAAAGAAAGACGGATGTAATATACATATGTGAAAAAAGTACATCGTATTGTGTGCGAGGCAGAAATATATACGGAAGATTCTTGCACGGAAGAGGATCGGCACCTTGCAAATCGCGGAGAGTTGATTGGCGGGCACAGATTAAGTTCTTTAGCTTTCAGTTTAATGGAACGCCAGATCGGATTTGATATTTCAGATTACGTCGATAGGTCCATACTGATTGACGCCGCGGATATTGCTAAGCCTCACGTAATACGATTATTAAACGAGTACGCTCTACGTTGGAAACTCACGATGACAACGCGTAGGAAATCGAATTTACGTGGGGGGAAGGAGACGCGAAGGAAGCAAGCGCGTATCTCATAATTTATTTCGCATCTCGAGAGAATTTAGTACAACGTCGCCCGATGGATAGATAATATTACTAATAGGTACCGTGTCACAAGATATCCTTTTGTAAACGTTTGGATATAATTCGTTTAAGTGTATTCGATTATACCGTTGTCTTCCGTTTATCGATGATGCGGAAAAAGAAAACGATACGATTAGCTCCGCACACAGTCGTTATGCATTGCACGATAATCGCCGTCGACAATCGTGTCTCTTTCCGCAACTATCGAGTTCTCGCATATACTATAATTATAAAAACATCTTACAAAGAGATTTATATGCTTTTAATTTGCCGAAGGTACTTGCGCTCAGTACTCTCTCTTTCTCTCTCTCTCTCTCTCTCTCTCTCTCTCTCTCTCTCTCTCTCTCTTTCTCTTGGCAGGTTCACAAATTCACGTAATCTAATCTCTGTCCACGGTCTCATATTCATCAGCGAACATCGCGGATATTGTGGAAGTACGTAACATACGTATGGTCAATGGAAACTAGAGAGAAGTTTAACATCATGTAGAAGGATAACTTGGGGAAGGCAATCTAACTATCTCGCGCACGTACGGCGGTGTAACTGAAGTACGTAGTTAGCGTTTCCAACATGTACTGAAGTCTGCTTGAGAAATACTTTCCTCACTGTACCGGGATATCTGTCTCCCTGCATCGCGGCCAAGTATTTGTGCAATATTCATATTTGTACTCGTATCTACGAATATCAAACATTGGCAAATTAAAGTTTATTGTTTAATCCACGCGTTTGCGATGATATGAATCAACGTGAATTTTTAACGAATTTATATTATATTATTATTATATTTATTATATATATTATTTATCAGATATATCTAATTATGTATCAACGATATGTACGATATTATTTTCAACAGTATATTCTGTGAACCGTGCTGTCTAAACGTAGGATTAATATAGTAGGATAGTATTGTGAATATGAATGTATAATATCAGGACAGATTAAACATCATTTTGTGTAGGATAGCGCAGGTGGTCAATGTATTTCTAGCTGTTTCTCTTGGCGGATGTCGAATCGAATGGCTATTTTGCCTTTCTTCCCCGGTGTCTGCTGGGGAACAGGGCCGATAGGTGTGGAACATCGTAAAATTTGCATATTGAAGGCATCGCAATTCCTTATCAGACTGCCGAGAATCCAGGATCATCGTCGACCGCGTTCGTTTGCATTTCTCTTGGTGCAAAGGATGCGCGTAGCAGTAACGCTATACATTTCTAAGTAACATGGCGATATTTACCAGCGACACGGCTCCAAAATGTCTCATCCCGTAATAATTATGTTCGATTTTATTATAAATTAAACATCACGTGCAGGGGGAAATCTATAGATATCGGTTCGTCGATGTGAAATGCTTGTTATTTATATTTCAGCCTTCCGAAAGGCAGGTGCTGAATTGAATTTCTCTTTACTATTTACTATTCATCTATTGTCTGCAAATAGAACTCGTATCGCAGCCGTAGAAGTAGCTGCATTATTTAATTCTGCTAATGGAGTTACGTGCCTATAAAAAGAGTTTTTACGAGGATAAACCCGCCTGACGTTACATCCCTTGCAAAGGAAGTCAGTGAGGTGGTAAAAATAACTCTGCATATGAAGGATATTTCGCAATCTTCTCGCCGCTGAACTATTTTAATTTTAATTTGAACGTAATTAAAGGCGCGCGGTGCCTTCGACTTGACTTGGTGGGGGGAGGGGGGAAGGGAGAAGGAAAGAGGGAGCGGCGTTTTAATCTCGCGGTTTGATTACGCGACGCAAACGTTTCTATAAAATAAATAACACGACCGTCGTACTTGGCGGCGGACCTTCGCGCGGCTGTTTTATTATGCATTCGCGCGTATTTACATGCCCCATTCATAACTAAAAAATCTTGAGGAACGAACCATTCATAATTCAGCTCGTCCTCCGGGCGTTCGGGATCCAAAATCATCCGCGTCTCCTCGTTTAAACCTCTCACCAATCAGACGCGGATTCCTTCGTTCCCCGCCGCGCATAAGAATTCGTTGCCCGATAACTAATTTACATCCGATTCCGCGCGTAGTCAAATGCCACGGAAGAGAGGACAGCAGAGGTTGTCTAAATAAAATATCCTTCGCCGAAACTCCGGCGCGGCGTTCTTCTCGCCGTCGACCTTTCCCGCCGGGTTCAATGACACGACGTTCTCCCCCCCGAGGACGCATACGAATATAAAAATTGTAAATCGCTGAATATGGACGGACTTGTGTATCCGGCGGGAATAATCCCGCATTACTGTCGGCCTCGAAACTTCTCGGTCATCCTGAGTTATGCGTCTAGGAGGAATATGACCTAGGGGAGGGAGGGAGGGGAGGAAGAAGGGTAGTCGGGGGTATAAGCGATGAAGCATCTCCACCGGTTTCTTCATTAATGGTAATGATCGCGCAGTCCTGACAATCCGCGGGAGAGCTCGCGCAGGAGAACGTCGCGATTTGTATTCAGAACGCGGGATACAGCGAAAGCCAAGAACCGGTGGCGGGGGGGGGGGTGGACCGCGTTGGAATCGCGAAATAAACTCCTTCGCGCAAGAGGGGAGGAGTGGGTAGTATAGCGACGGTGCGAGAGAGGAAAGGGAGGCGCGCAGCCTCGCGCTCCAGTTCGACTTCCGACAGTAAAAAGAGAGTTAAGACCATGCATCGCGAGCCAGTGTATCGAATCGATCCAAGTTCGCTGTTCTCGCAATCCAGTACCTGTACCGAAAGTCCTACGAAAGTCAATGGGAATCAAGAGGGGGTAGAACGTTCCTAGCCTCCGCCAAGAGTTCCGGCCAAACGCCACGTATTTCCCTGACCAACACGGAATTAAAATAATCAAGCGGTAACAGAGTTGTACCAGCCACGCGGGATACAAATCCCTGCAGCGTTGCAAATGCAAAAATACCGCATGACTAGTCTCGCCATTATCATGCGTAAATAGACTGTTACACATATTCAGGGAAATTATGTTCCTCACTCCATATAGAGAATCGATACATCGAATACCTCAACTATACCGAATTTCTATATGCAAACAGCTAGGATTGCGTGTCTCGTTATTATATCATCGCGCTAATAAGCATCGTAACTACAGCGTAATTTGTAATTTACCGTACATTCGTTAAGCAATAAAAGAAGAATTCGTCGCGCTTGTCACGAACAAAAATATGGGATATTTCGCTATTTGATTTCGCGAAGCTGTTCGAGAAAGCACTTGAGTTGCGATAATTGTGAAGTCTTCCGCAAATTATTATTATTGTGATTTAGGTAGAATAAATTATTCGTTTATTCGCCAAGCTTGGATTCAGGTTGTGTCTATCTGTTCTACATCCCGAACGCGGAATTTCCGATGAGCCGAGAGTTGTGGAAGTCGATCTGTTCCGTTGCTTCGTATAATCAAGGGAGATTGGGAAAGGATTATTTCTATAACACTGTGCTCCACCAAGCAAAACAAACCGCTAGATAGTATCTTCTTCATATTTGTAAAACGTGGCTGAACCTATGTAATCCGTGCGAATCATTCGTTCAATAACAAAATTTAATTAATTTTAATAGCACGATCGTCGGTTGCGCAATTGCAAATTGCTCGAATAACACGCTTCTTCCTTTTGTCGTTCTAATTGCTCTTATGCATGCTCAGTGGATCATGTTCCCGAGTTATTGCGAGATAGTCATTTGCATTTGCGCTTTACACGAAAATGTGTGTGTCTGTTCGTATTTACAGAATCGCTTTAGTTTTCATGAGCATCAACGATATGCGTTTTAAATTTATAATATATAATAACGGAAGTAATCTTTTGTTATTGCCCCTTTCTCGGAAGCCAGAAGCAATAAAAATATATTTCAGTTAATGTCCAAATAAATTCACAAAGCCGAATTCTTGCATATTCTTGTTAATAACATGCAAAACACGTAAAAATAAATTGTAAATTTAGTATAAGAAACACAAACTCTTTAGTGATAAATATAACACCAGAAATTTATAATAAGTTGAAACAATTATTTTAACAACAGATGCATGATATTTACTATATTTATAAAATAAATTCATAATTGATTTTTTGACCTTATAAATTTGTATTAATATATTTTATATATATTTGCAAAGAGAAGAAATTTAATGCAGTGTGTATATGTGTGTATGTGCACGCGCGTGTATATAACGTGTCAACCCGTTAAATACAAACGGTGAAATCGAGCATATAAATTCGAATCGTAAAAGAAAGAAAGATTGGCAATAATTGCCAATGTGTTCAAGTAATTGTTGAAGTAATACGACGTATTCTTCAAGGGTAATGGGTGCAATAATATAAAAGAGGAGAAGCCATTGGAAATTAGCACCGTTCGAATGCGACGAAACTCCGCAAAATTATTTTTATTTTATTGCCGCGGCTACAATCTCGCCAGGATAATTATTGCTGAACTTTACGACGGGGTATATGATATATATATTTTACCGAGAGCTCTTGTGTTCAATAGTCGTGGATTGAAGAATAGATTGATCGCCAACGACAACGACCGACAACGACTGTTAGATGTGAAGTTTGCACGCAAAATTTTTCTGGCATTACTCTCGCCAAAAATAGATCGACAGGAAATAGACTAAAAAATATACGAAATTACTTTTGAACATATAATATCCAGAATTTCACTATAGTTAATATAATCATTAAGAATTTCAAAACACTTAATGGATAAGTCCAACTTTTTATTCTCATGTATAAAAAATTTGCAGATATAAAAAAGATTAAAATTTATGATCACATAGTGTTACTATGTGTGTTTTGAATATCATATTCATTCATTTTTATTTCGTTTATGTAGGCTTATTAAATTTTAAAGAAAGTGCGTGATTCTTGCTAAATATTATTTTTATACATAACGTAATTTCGAATCACTGAAATCAAGAATATAATAATTTAATATGTAGAAAATGTGTGTGTGTGTCACAGACTCCTTTAGGCTTGACGACAGTGTCGCTGTTTCTACAAGAAGTTCCGCGTATTTTTAGAGAACGCAGTCCGAAATGCGCGAGCGCGATGTGCAAACCGCGAGTTTATTTTCGGTGGAAATCCTACATGGTGCGGGACAGCATCCGATTAGCTTAAAAAAAGCGTGTGTCTGTGTGTTGCGCGGGTTTTTCAAGGCCGCAGAGAAAGCTTTCCGGGGCCATTGTATCGCGTCGCGTTTTCGGAATTTTGTCAAAACTCAGACTCATGCTCTCTGATTCACTCGACGAAAAAGAGAGTCACGCGCCGCCTGCACAGAGCCAGCGCCTGGTCATCGCTTCACTAGTCCATGCCCTCTCACGGGATTAGTCAAATCCAAAAATAATACCGCGCACGCACCGCGATGCAAATGGACACGACGATGCAAATCAGATGTTTTAAGATCCCCCTCCCCTCCTCCGCCCCCCGAACTGAAGAGCTAGTGTCTGGCATAACGGGGGGGTTGTGCTGTACAGATAATGCCTAGAATTATTACGCAAATAAATACAATTGAGAATACCGTGTACAAATACAGCGATCTTTTAAAGGACGATGTTTATTCAACGTCTTGAAGATATCGCATATCCAACTATTAATATACATCGTGAAAATAAAAGAACTAAATATGTGGCGGTCTCTAGCAAGCTATAAAGCTTGTGAATTATGATACAAGAATAATTTCGTGTCAGCAGCTTTTGTAAAATCGAGGATTACGTCATTAAAGTGATGAAGTAATGAATAAAGTAACGAAGTCAAACAAATAAATATAATATTCTTAGTGTCTTACTAGAACAAGCCAGACCGACCGTGCATTCTCTATATAAAATATTCATCGTTTCTCATCCATACTTTTCCATTAGTTCAAATATTTCAGATGCAGGCGTTGTTAAAATACAGAAGCGAGAACTATGCTGCGCGCGGAATCGCATATCACTTTCAATCGAAAACATTTCAACGTCGACTAAAGCCCGAGGCAGCCGCACAATAGTATTTTTTTCACGAAGCCGTGTATTAAAAAAGCGCGCACGTTAGCCCGTATTTCTCTGTTTTGATTTCGGCCGCCCGGTGGGGTGCGCGGTGTGCAAAGTGGACTTGAAAATAACCCCGCCACGGGAGGAGGACCACCCGATCTATTAATAGTTTACCGTACGTGAGTATCTTTGTCGCCGGTTCGGCATCGACTACGCGCGATTCGGCCGCAAAATCCGCCGATACAGTCCGCGCGCGTGCACGCGTGTGTCGTCAGCCCGAAGACGTCGTCGGCCCGAAGACGTCGTCGGCAGCGATGCAGCTGACACCTCCGTTTTCGCTGGTGAAGTCTGCAGTGGACGATCTCGACGCGGATGAATTATAGGAGCTGCCAGTTAAATACGAGAGAGAGAGAGAGAGAGAGAGAGAGAGAGAGCAGGAGAGGGTGAGAGGAAGAGAGGGTTCTGCGGGAAATGTCTATCCGACGGACGTGACCGTCGTCGCGAGAGACTCCGATTGCCCCGACGAGATTTTTGGCGTTCGTGTATAGCAGCAAACTGGAAGGAACTTAAAACCGCACGTTTCGGGTGAATCTAAATAAAGAACTATGCAGCGTGGCGGCTGAGGCGGGGCGCGGTGCCTCGGGATATGCGAGAGAGAGTGAGTAAGAATGGTACAGCAAACCGCATGCAGCAACGAGACGAGCTCATCCCTCAATGGCGTACCGAACGGCGACCGCAAAGGAGAAACGTCCGGTGCCGTCGTCGCGACGGACGCGCTGGTAGCGCGTGGTGCTGTCGATGGTGAGACGACTTCCCTGACTCGCAGCAGCGGCAGCGGTGGCGGAGGAGGAGGTAGCGGCAGCGGCAGGTTCTCCCTGTTCAGGTGGTTCAAGCGAAATCGCGATTCAACCGTGGAGAAACGACGGAGAACGAGCGAGAGGCCGGACGACGATGGCGTCGTCCGACGACGGAGCAGCATCTACTCCAGCGTGGAGAGCGTAGACACCTTCTACAGCACCACCACTGTTCGCAGTTTCGCGTTTCACACGGGAACCCTGGGCCGTTGCAACGTGCTGTCCTTGGACATACTCAAGCAAGCGGCCGAGGTCGGCCCGTTCGCCGCTGGTGCCTCGAAGGTGTACTTGGGTAACAAAGAGAACAACGCGTCGTCGGCCTGCACGTTACCAATTAACGTGCACTCCAGGAGGCAGGACATCACCGCCAGGTACTCGTTGCAACCAACGACCTTCAGCTCGTGCGGCAACTTCCTGACAACCGAAAGGGACTTGTCGAATTCGTCGAGAAGACTCGATGAGAGCGCGAGAAACACCGGCTCCGCGCGGCGGCGGGTCCACGTGAAGGGAAAGCGGAGAGCGCCCAACCCTCCCGATGCGCTGGTGAAGATCGTGGGGGTCAATGTACGCGAAACGCCGCCGAGGAACAGCAATAGACGCAAACGACGGGCGCCGCGACCTCCTGAGAAAGCGACTGTGGAACAGTCAAACCTCGTCACCGATGGCGACAGCATGGAGGTAGAGGAGCGGAAGGGTGTCGACGAAGGGCAATCGATCAGCAACGACACACTAATCCTTCAGGGTGGTATGTTGCTATCAAAGAAGGAAGTTTGCGGCAGTCCGAAGGCCGCGAAAAGCAATCGTGGCGACGAGGGAGCGTCCAGCGCAACAGTCCTTCAGGAAAGAGCACAGAGCCCGATCGGTACTCTGAACATGCCTCGTCCTTGGTACAAGCGTAGCGTCTTCGAGCACTCTCGCGACTCCGGATCGTCCAAGAGAGGTGCCGTTCTCCGCAGCCCTATGACGTTCACCGAAATGAAGGACGAGTGTGTCGGAACGAATGTAAATTCTTCTCCGAGTTATTCCATTGACGCCTCTCTGTCAAGATTAAATTTTTTTCATCGCGGCGAGCGACAGAGTGACGAAAGGAAACGACAGGAGGCCAAGCGAAAATCCGGCTTGTCCATCCTGACGAACATCAGCGAGCTGGACAAAGAAGCGGCGGCGATCGTGCAGGAGGAACAGGCTCGAGCGCGGGCGTCGATGTTGTTGAAAACTTCAAAATTTGCCGACGAATTCGAAAAGAGGAACGACGTCAACGAGGAACTCGTTCAGGATATGGTCACCTCGGCGATTGAGAGCTCGTCGCCTAGACGAGGCACGCGCGCGTTAATCTCTAAATTCAACGCCATCAGCAATATCACTAAAGTCACGGTCAACGCTAACTTCTTCGCTAAAAGAGATCACCCAGATTACAGGCCCGATCGCGATGCAACGAGAAACAGCAGATTCGAACAAATCGGAGATTGGAGAAATCAGAGATTCTCGGTCCAACAAGATCTCGGCCAGAGCGTCCGCGTTGATAAAGATATCTCCAGATACTTTTTGCCGCAGCAGAGATCGTCGAGAAATAGAGCTGAATCGACGCACGCGGACGTAAAGTCGGTAGACATCAAAATTTCCTCTAGCAAGGAGCAAAATGATCAGCTGATGAAGGACGCGTCTAATAGAATATCATATTTACAAAGTCAGCTCGCTGCGAATCGCGCGAATGAGTCACTAATTGCTCAGAAGAATGTCACAGAAGAAAAAATTAGATCGCGGCAGGAAATCGGCAAAGAAATGAAGGGTAAAGAATCGTCGAGATTGAGTAACGAAACAAGAAGAAAATTTCTACTTTCCCGTGCTCGTAATTTAGCTGAGAGCTCGGAAAACGCGTTAGATCCCTTGAGAGAAAAGGCGGAGCACGGGGTGCAAAAGGAATTTTCGGATATTTTCAACGAGATCGATCGACAGCTGCGTTCTAGGGAGTTTAAACTCATCGAACGGAGACCAGCAGCCGAATTTAACAATGCCAGAGACAAAGTTCCGGAGGACGAAGCCGTGTCGAGCAAAGTGGCCAAAGTGCTCGATATCCTGGTGGAAGCCGAGAAGGATGATAAAACGAGATCGGCGATGCAGCCGGAAAGATCGAAGATGCAAGACAAGGGAATGTCGCGTCTGATTGATTCAGACCAGAAGGCGAAGTCCGGCAGGACAAAATTAACCGCTCTCAATACCGTCGAGGACCCAATTACTGCGGATTTGAAGGAGATGCTGAAGGAGATGAAGCACTCGTTACCGAAACGGCCTAGATCGAGGAAGATTGCTGCGTCAAACGACGGCGACGTTCTCGAAAAGGTCGACAAGGGCTCGCCGGTACCTACAAACAAGACCTCCTACATTGCCTCGGTGACGGCGACGAGGATGGCGGCAACGTCGTCGTCGTCGAACGATTACGAGACAGATAAGCAAAAGGTATCCTCGTCGGCGCAAACCAGTGGAAACATCCGTAGATTAAATCAGCCCTCTACTTCCGCCGAGCGACCGTCTACATCGGGATGGAAACACGAGAACGTGCTCTACAGGACTTCTGGCAAGGGTTCGGTCCTTGTGAAGAATACTTTCCAACTGATACGACCGCGCGATTTCGCCGAGATAGAGGCTATGAAGACCACGAAGGAGGTACACAAGGAAAACACTTATGCCAATGTGATAGAACCGTCGCTGTACGCCAATACTCACGTTCCTCCCGCATCGCCCAAACAACGACCGAATCCGACCACATCTAAAGATATTTCGCAAAGTAGTCATCCCGAAGAGCGGCCCAATGTCGCAAATGAAAGTAAAATCATGTTGAACGATGATGAGCTTACAAATGAAGGTAATTTCGCAACGTACATTTGCTAAAATGATAGTTTGATGGCAAACCTAGTCTATTTAGAACAAAATTCATGTTTCAATTATTCGATCTAAATAAGGAAAATATAACAAATGAATAAACATGCGAATACATGATCTCTAAAAAGTTTCGAAAGACTAAACTATTTTTAATTAATTTGTCTTGATTTATATATTTTTTTTTTAATTGCAGAAAGAACTTGATAATGTGGTAATATTATTGCAGACGATAATTCAACAGCGAGAAACATGAATACTCTGGCCATAAATCGATTGCTAAGAAAACTGGAAGGGGCCATCGCGTCGGGCCATCATCAGCAAGCGGCGGGATTAGCGAAGGAATTGGCAAGGCTCAAAATCCATTGTTCTGTGATACGACAGCGTTCGGCGGCGCGTTTGAAGGATCAGTCGATTAAAGTCAATATGTATATCGAAGACAAACTCGCTCACCAAGGGCCCATACCACTTCAGGTAAGTAACCGATACTGACGGTTGCTCGATATTCAAACAAAACGTTTCATGGACCGGGCTGTGATAACAGCTGCCGACGAGAATGACGGTAGCCGAGCTGAAGACAAAGATACATACGGAGTTTGAGATACCCACAAACGTGCAGCGATGGATTATTGGGAAAAACTTGGCTGATCACGACGGGGCCACTCTCGACGAATTGCATGCAGTGGATGGTTCACCGGTGTTTCTTTATCTCGTGGCACCCGGTAAATCTGACTCATTCGATTGAATATAATTACTTATTAAACAAAAACTTATTTTCACATTTTTCATATTTTAAAGTCTATCCTTTATTTTTAAAAATTAATAAAAACTCATTTTAAATATATTAATATCATAAAATAAAATAATTAATTATTATACGAAATATTTCTTGTGCTCCTCTTTCTTAATTATAAATTATAATATACCGTAATTTTGTAGAATTGCACATCGACAATGCAGTGCAAGCGAACAAGCCACAGCCAACAGAGGAAGTTCCTGAAGAATTGCCGCAAGATCCACCAACGGAAGTCCTGCAAACAAACGAAGAAAAACAAGAAACTACGGAGACAGATAAAATAATATCGACAACAAATGAACATCAGGTAATAAACAGGCATCGATGTGTTATTTCAAGTATTAGTTTTATTTAAGGAGATCTTCTCGATCAGGTACAATCTAAGAGCAGTTTTTAAGAATTTTTAAAAATGGATAGAATTATGTAATAAAAGATTCAACATATTTTTTATATCTTGAGCTACAAAAAAATTGTGTTTAGTAATACACATTGAATTAACTTGAGTTTGAATCCTCTATCGTACATTCTGTCCTGCTTTAAAACATTTTTTAAAACTTTATATTGTGCCAATCGATAAGACTTCCTTAAACGCACTCTTCTCGATTTTCATTTGTTTTATCGGTTAGCTGCATATTAAGGTGGTTTTATCGCTTAACGTCGACTCGATAGTGTGACGTTGTCACATAAACGTCACACAATCGCATATGTACAGTCTATGCGAAATGTTTTTATTAAATTATTAGTCATATGGAGGGACTAATTTTTTACTGGGACTTGCCCGATAAAACCACCTTAATCAGAGAGGAATATGTAATACACGTTTCAATGTGCTTGTGCAACAATAGCAAGAAGCAGCGGAAACAGACATGTCGGAAGACGCCAAGATCGGACGATACGAAGAGCTGATATCGCTGGAGAACTGGGACGTCATTCCGAATTCCGAGCCAATCGAGTGCCCAATATGCTTCGTTACATATGGTCCACGCGAAGGTGTAATTCTGAGGGATTGTTTACACATGTTCTGCAGGTAGAACCCTTTAATCTGCTACATAGCCCAGCTTTAATTACTGTTTAATCCGTTAAGTACAGGAACCAATTTCAGTGGTAGTATCGTGCCTCTGCATAGGCGTTTTCCCTCCCCGCACAAAGATAATCTACAATAGATCGCTTTCGCTCATTATAGCCTGTTCGCTACAATCGTCCACATCGAATCTAATTTATCCCTGGCGAAATGCATTTAGCTGGCTCGTGCGTCTAGATAGGTATGCGTTACATATTAAACCGCGATGCATCACAGATATATTTATCTATTCTATAATACGCTGATTCATGCATATTACTAATGCGACAATTACACTAGCGCTAAACAATTACCGCGAAACACGCTACAATCACACGCACAAATAATATCCTACGTATATAAACTTGGTCATGCAGTAAACTCTGCGAAACAAAAAAAAAACGCGCGATCGCTCAATTGTACTTATTATTTGTTTACTTATTAACCAAGGCAAATGTCGCATTTAATCCTTACTCCCCCTCGTCTTTTTTTCCTACTTCACTATCTGGGATCATTCGCGTTTTACGCTTCTATGTCTTAAAGAGTTACACCGTAATAAGATATAGTTTTCAACCTGTATACTCTTATAGTTTCATCCAGTATATGATTAAAAAGCGAAATAGCAATAACAATTGATGAAACTATACATATAATATACATATAATTTTGGCAACTATGTAGTATGGCAAATATAATATTTTGGTAAATATTGGACACGAAATATTGATCCGAGGGAAAGTAAGAGTTAATTTCCGCGTATAATGAATTTCGTTGTATATTCACAGGTCATGTATCGCCAATACGATCGCGTATTGCGAAGAAGCGGAGGTGAAATGCCCATACAGAGACCCCGATTATACGTGCGAATCGACCCTTCAAGAACGTGAGATCAAGGCGGTGAGTTTCTGTTTAAGATTACCTGAGCCAAGTTTTAATAAAGTTTGCGATGATCCTATTATTGTTTACGCCTAGCTCGTCGAGCCGGAGATTTATCAGCAGCATCTCGCGAAGTCGATCGCGCAAGCGGAGAACAACGCTGGAAACAAGGCTTTCCACTGCAAGACACCGGACTGTCCTGGCTGGTGCATTTACGACGACGACGTGAACAATTTTTTATGCCCTGTGTGCAAAGCTAATAATTGTCTTACCTGTCAGGTGAGTTTTGCTTATATTTATCTAAAATTGAAGACATGAATTTAAAAACATTAAAATATAATAGAATATAATAGAAATAAAAAAATTATTGTCAGTCCATATGCATGAAATGGACTGATTATTTGACGAGTAATGTTAACAAAAAAATGCATAATAAAATATTCTACGCTTTATTTTTAGTATTAAAAATATATTCGAAGTGACATTAAAGGCTAATTTTAAAAAACACATAGCATATTTGAATTGAACTTAAATTCACAGCGAGAATTCTTTCTTCGTTATTTCGTTTCTCGTTTCCATAGATGCAATTACTGGTTTCCATTTTAATTATAACTGCATAAAATATTGACAACGCTTTTATTAAAATTGACGTGACATTTAATTGAGGAGAAATGTTTTTAAAAATTCTATCCACCTCTCTTTTTATTTTTTTCTCGTGGCATATCCCAATACAAATTTATTTATTTAGCAATGCATACGCTATCAAATGATATCGATTTATAAAATAACCAAAATACTTCAAGATAACGAAGAGCATATAAATTTCGATTTTAAAGGTTGTTCATACCGGAAAGAATTGCAAACAATATCAGCAAGAATTGCAACTTTCGAAAGAGACCGATCAGGAATCTAGAAGGACAGCAGCAATGCTCAAAGAGATGGTCGATAGAGGCGAGGCACTTGCGTGTCCCACGTGTGCCGTCGTTCTCATGAAGAAATGGGGTTGCGACTGGCTGGTCTGCTCCATGTGCAAAACGGAGATATGTTGGGTAACCAGAGGACCGCGTTGGGGCCTGGGAGTAAGTATCAATTTATTTTCCGCAATTTATTAGGCTCTCTGAAAGCTTATATGGGTTCTAACGAACGTGGACTTGTTAACAATTAACGACATCGTTATTTCCTACGACCTTATTGATCGTCCTCGTTGCAGGGTAAGGGCGACACATCCGGTGGCTGCAGATGTGGTGAGAATGGAGTTAAGTGTCATCCCCGTTGCAATTACTGCCACTAAAGAATTACAACTGCCACAACAATGGGCAAACGATAAGTTTACGGTGACAATAAGATGTTCTAGAAGATGCTTTTATATTCGTATTGACACATAATAATTTGCAGAACCCGATACGACGTATGACATAAAGATCTTTTATACGCGCGTTTAGTATAAAATAAGCTCGGACCCCGATAAATCAGTATGCAATAGGAATTATTCGCTGCTTGCTCAATTATAATCTTATCGCGACACCGTCCCTGATAGGATCGAAAGTGAGATTCTAATAAAACGAGTAACACACCTAACTTTGTACCAATGCTTCTTATTTGTATCGCAAATACAAAGTGTAGGGAAATAAATCATACTTTACTTAAAGCTCTCGATAAATCTAATGTATAATAAATTACCGATACAAGCAAATTTTTTGCAATTATACAGGCACCGATTCTTCGTTCTCGCCGGAAGTTGCTTCATCCGTACCGATCTGTTTTAATCGTGCAACTAATGTGGACTGATGATGCGTGAGCTGTCGATTTAAGTTGTTACCGCCTGCGCTCTGTAACACCTGAACAAGATAAACCCGCGATGACGTAAGATCCATTTTGCCGTATCTCAAAAAGTCCTCCTTATTCAGCACATGTCCCTCTAGTATACCCGCTGTAACAAACAGGTAGATTTATTATCATTTATTATTTTATTATTCTGTGTTTATTTAACGCTTTCTGAAGTTGCTTACCCAATAAAATAACCTGTGGGAACTTTTTAATAATTTTTTCGAAGGCAGCGACGTTTGTGTCAGAACCAAATATGACGTTGAATTGCGACGAGTACAACGGCATTGTCGCCGCGTAAGGTGAATCCGCCAATGCTAATGTCATTATCTTATTGCTATATCGTTTGTAGTACATATTTGCCCTCCTCAATGGAACTGCGAACTCAAACTTATCCTCCGCCGTCATAGAATTCTCATGGCAAATGGCAACCATTTTGGAATTGTCAAACCAATTGCGGACTTCACGTGCTATTATTCTTTGGTAAGGATTATATTCCTCCTTCTTCTCCTTATTCGCAGTTCTTATTGCTTTTTTGCATAATTCCTCCAGTTTCTTGCCTTCATTTGGGAACGGATAAAAAGGCTTCAAAAATTCGTTTACCAATGCCCTTTGGTAATGCGGCGCTCTGGGTTTTTGTATATTAATTTTGGCTCGAAAACGCTTCTGTTGATAAAGGATTGCATTTGGAGTGATCTGAAATGCTGAAACATAAAACAGAGCAATAGCATTTAATTATAATGAAAAATTAATTGACAGAAAAGAAAATCGGTCAATTAGTTTATATACCTACCACCATGATTTTTGTGACTTTTTTTTACAATATTTATCCTCGATGTCAATTGACGTTACAAATTTAAGATTCTACAGGTACATGTTAAATCGATGAGAACGACAGAGATATATTTGAATTGCTATTTGATTTAGCAGCAGAATATTATAATTCCTCCTTTTGGAACTATTAATTATCTAATTCCGGTGTCGTATAAACTACATGTATAATGTTTATATCGTAGTTAAGTACATGATCCGTATCAGTTAAAGACAAGTACAAAATCGTATATACAGAATTATTTTCTTTTAATGATATAAGGCACTTTGGAACAGATCGTATATATATAGATAAAATATATATTTATATATATATGCAAAAAATGTGTATGTATTTGCAGATGCGCGATAATGTGTATATATATATATTATTTACTAATGCAGAATTTCTGCATTTATCTTGCATACTGTCTTTGCATTTATGCGATATAACTGATCCTTCCGCTGCAATAATTACTAGTTTCGTGCCTCGCTTCTATGCTATCGCCAAAATTAAGTGATTTCCTATTCCTGTTCAATCGGAGTATCGACCGAAGGCCGTTTTTCTTCCGCTTATACCGATCGTCCAGTGCTGAATTGAGAGACGCCTGCTTCACGTCCCCGCGACTGTTCGAGAAGCCTTCTCGCTCGTCTTTGATATTATTACTACTCGTAACCTCGCTGTGCACATCGTCCACGAGCCAGTGCTTCTTCGGCGAGAGAAACTTATTATTGCATCCGGGTATAGTGTACATATATTCCGATTGAGCAACATCGACGGACTTCTCGTGGTGTCTCACATTATTGTCGGTACTCGTGTTTCCGGCTAAGGCCCCTTTACTCGTATGCTTCTCGAAGTTGTTCGACTTGCCGCTCCTCTTCGAATAATCTCCTAAGTCGCTTGAGTGATTGCTCGTTTGACTGGTGATTGATTTCTGATTGGTTTGATCCGCGTTCTTGTTCTCGCGCAACTTCTTGTTCCTCTTGTAAGTATCCGTGTTTTTGGCGTCGAGTGCCGCGTGCCGTTTCTCCGACATGCTCTGTCTGCCAAGAGCATCGCGAGAAAACTTATTCGACGAAGAGTTTAATTCCTCCAGGGACAACTGACTGTCGTACGTGGGATCCCCGGAATACTGGCTGTCCTTATCCTCGGTATTTCGTTTGGTGTCGTTTCCTTGAGAGCTGTCGTTGTTCGATTCCTCCAGCAATACTGCTTCAATCCGATCGTCGCGCGATCCTATAATTTTCTTTACATTATTAATCGGCTCTATCCACGTTTTATTGGTGGCAAGGCAGTAGCTTTCGTTTCTCAAGCTATTCTTGCTGTACTGCTCCGTGAGTCTGTCGATGACAGGATTCCATGGCGAGGCTGTTACGCAGGATAATAATCCACCGTTGTCCAGTGCATCGGTTTGAGAATTTAAAGTGTTCTTCTCCTTGACTATGCCGTCGTTCATTTTCGTAGAATCCGATATGTATATACTACTAACTTCTGATTTACGATGAGATTGTAAATTATCTACAGTATTCTTCTCACTCGCATCATACGACGATACCCTCCTAGCTATTATAAGATTGATCACACCGGTTACTGAGCTGTCTGTGTTAAGCATCGCCCTCCTCAAGGTCTCCATCGCCTCGGAATTGGATAATCCCAACAGCGATACGCCGTTAACTCTGAGCAATTGATCATTGGTCCGCAAGCGACCGTCCCTGGATGCTGCGCCCCCGTGGATAACACTTTTTATAAAAATACCTAAATCCATATTGGTGTTGTCGTCGGAGCTGTTGGTTTTACCTTTAACACTTACGCCCAAGCCAGCCTTCTCAGAATCATGTACTGGTATATCTAAGTTCATTATCACACGATTCTTACGCGGAGATAAGACGATATCTTCGGATGATTTAACCGATTTGTACGTGCACTTCTCGTAAGTGTGAGTGTTCATCTTGTCGTGTACGTCGTTCTTTTTCGCTGGCGATCTATTTAATGTATTCCAATACTTTGTATTATCCATTACTTCAGCAGCCGGGGGAGCAGCAGGGGTCGCGATACCCTGAGAATCCGGAATGTTTGAAGAAATTTCCTCTTGACGCGATACTACCATCCTCACTTTACCACCGGGAGGAATACTTCTGAGCAGTGACACGACCTCCGCTTGGCTCTTGCCAGTCATCTCCTTATTATTTACCTCTAGCAATCTATCACCCGGTCTCAATCTGCCATCCTCCACCGCAGCACCTTTTGGTAATATATTCTTAATGTATATGGGACAATGTCCCCCAGCAGGATTATCACGTGTGGTAACACTAAATCCTAAACCGTTACCTCCCTTTACTAATTCTATCTCTATCATCCGTCCAATTTTCCTAGTGTTCGCAGTCTGTAGAAGGTTGTAGTTGCTGCATTGAAGTCTCTTGATATTCTCATCGCCCTCGGCCTTCTCCGATCCGCCACTGGTGTTCCCGTGGTTTTTATGCAAAGACTTTTCGCTCCTCATTCTCTTCTTGTGCTTAACTACGGAAATTTGTAAACAGGGATCATTCATGCATGTTCGAAAAATCTCTTGAACCTTTGAAAACGGTATGTGCAACAAGTTATGACCATTAATTTTTATAATATTGTCGTGCAAATCGATTTGCCCGTCCCTGGCGATGCGGCCATTCGGCTCAATACCCTCGACTCTGAGTCCCTGATCGTTGCCCAGCAAGTCGTAACATGGCACCACGTGGAGCCCCAGTGGCCCTGCCTCGTTCTTTATCACTATCTCTCGCACCTCTTGGCTCCCGGATTCGGTATTATTTCCAAATTCGTACGAAGCTTTGGAATCTTGACCTAAAGGCTCCCTACGTCGAGACTCCCTCGGTAGGGATTGAGCAGAATACGTTGTGAGAGAAGGTTCTCTCGTTGACAATGCGTGCATCGACAAACGCTTGGCACTTTCTCTCTTAATACTACTACTAGACACGGAGGAATGGATGTCGATCGGATAAGCCTGATCCTTGCCATCTCGGTGGAAGAAGTCGGGACTGTTGGTGCCAACCGAGCTCGCACCGTCCCCGCCAACGTGGCTGACAACGTCGGAGCCAGCGAAATGGGCCACGATCTGCTCCCTGTCGTCGGCCACGTCGCACAGTCTGTCGTCCGGATCCAGTAGGCCGCCCCCGGTCAGGGAGGACAGACTGTTGATGGTCAGGGTGTTATCACTTTTGCCAGTGGCCTTCTTGTACCTCAGGATGGCCTCATGCATCAGATCCTTGACCAGCAGAGTACCGTCTCCGCATGGGACCACCACCCTGACATTGTCGAAGCACACGGTTACCTTCATGCTTGCTCCGCTTTCATATTATTAACGAAGAAAGCGAGCCACGCGAGATTATGTGCACACAGTGCGTGATTTTCACGCGCCAAGATTTTTTACGCAACAATGGCGAAACAATCGCGTGAAAGTTTGTATATCCGTCCGTCGTCGTCGTCGTCGTCGAACACGCGCGACACGCGCGTTCGTCGCACGTGTTCCGGAATGTGTGGCGTGTCGCGGGCGGACTGTGACGTGAGTAACGCGAGCGATTATCGCGTGTTACCTCGAGTCGCACCTCTCCATATCTCGCGAGCGTGTGATTCACGTACGCGCCAGGCACGCGTTTGGCACGTCCCCGCGACCTTCGCGGCGGTGGAGCAATTGCGACGCGCGAGCCAGCGTACGGCGACGACGACGGCGGCCCGCGACGGAGGACGACGGCGTCGCGCGAGGGAATCACAGGCAGGGGACGAGCCGACAGGACGGACGCGCGTACGCCCAACTACTTTATCGCGACATCAAATATGCGGAATAGACGCACTCGCCATTTTAACATTCCATTCCGCCGTTCCGTTCCGCCGGTGGTCGAGCAACGCCGCCGGAACGCCCGGAATTGGGATTAAATGGCGGCGCGCACGCGGACCGTCGCCACCGCGCCACCTCGGAACGGAGCCGAGCCGAGCGATTCGTGCGAGCGACACGTGTGTGCTCGCGCTCGCCTGAACGCCTCAATCACAGGTTATACGCACCTTTTTTCAAGCACTGCGCCATTCTCGAGGGATACGTATGTTCACTCGGTCGTGCGGGATTAATAAAACCGATAAGAAATTCGCTCGTCGCGTGTCACTGCGGCATCATTTACATAGCACAGACTACGCAGAAATGGTTCCAGTCCGCGGTTTCTTGGTTCAGGATGTTTTCTGGATGTAACCCATGTAGCTACGGAGAACGGCTGCCGCTGCAGGCGCATTCGCAGTAAGCGACACTGGCGACGGTTGCTCCGATTTTGTCCATTTAATAAAGGTACGATTCATGTATCTACGTAGCAATTGCAAATGGATCGCAACTTCTTATATTTTTGTATTAAAATAAGACTAAGATATTTCTTTTCTACATGCAATCTGATTTATTCATTTTTTTCAATAACAGTATAAGAAAAAATCCAGTAAATCACAATGATTTAATTGACTATTGAAAGACTTATATATATATCTTTATGCTAGGCTTTCGTCAACAAAGATTTTATTTATCTATCTAAAAAATAGTCCAGATTTGTCACCAATGGCATTAGAAATCTGATTATTCGGAATAAATCAAGTACTTTGCTTTTGGATGTTTATTTTCTACATGCAATCTGATTTATTCATTTTTTCAATAACAGAAAAATATAAGAAAAATTCAGTAAATCACAATGATTTAATTGGCTATGAAAGACTTATATACATCTTTATGTTAGGCTTTCATATATAACAAAGATTTTATTAGCTCTATCTAAAAAATAGTCCAGACTTGTCACCAATGGCATTATAAATCCGATTATCCAGAATAAATCGAGCACTTTATTTTGGATATTTATATTAGGAAAGTGAGATATTAAAATGTCAATTGGCAAATAAATATTCCATCCTTGTGTATACAATAAAAAAAAATGCATGCCTAACTTCGCGGAGATGGGTGGGGGTCATTGTCGTCATCGGACAGCAGTAGAGAGTGACGACTCATCATCTACACCTATCTGAACCTCACTCTAGATTTGAAACGTCAAATCCATCGCAAAATTTCTAGTGTTTCACTCCGCAGTTTTCTTCATTACGTCATCAATATTGTTAGAGAGCATAAGGAAACGAAATATACGAGTATTCTCAAACAATGAAGTGGTTTGCGGGAAGTATTAACGAGGCGGTTGCGACGTCAAAATCGAGGAAGGCAGTTTTTGTTGTGTTCATCGAAGGTGTGTAATCAAAGGTCTTAGGTTAGATTTGACTTCAGTTTAGATTCTGTCAAAAAAAAAAAATTATATTGCTAATCTAATACGACGTACAGACATCTACGTGACAATGATATGAATATATACACGACAATGTACACAAAGTGATACACAATGGATACTTTAACAAATCAGCCATATTTATATAAATTTGGACAGTCATTACAGATATACCGTCATAATGTTCTTTTAGGCAAAGATGACACGTCGGTGCAACTTGCCCAGGCAATTGATGCTACAGAAGTCTCCTCCCGCCTGGAGGGAGAGCATTTTGTGGCTATAAGATTAGAGAGTGGCTCCGAGGCTTATAGATTCTTTGCGCAGATCTGTATCCTCTTATATAACCTTTATGTCCTTCTGTTTTCAATGTTGTCATATTTTTTACATCTTCATATATTTACATTTTTAATACCGTTAAGTTTGTCATATCTTAAAGTTTTCCTTAAATCTAACACGATCAGATCAATTGGTGCCAGTACCATCTCTATTCTTCATTGGGGAGAATGGCACACCGCTGGAAATTATTGCTGGTAGCGCGACTGCAGCTGAACTATCATCCAAAATTGATAACGTGTTGACAAAGGCAGGGAAGAGTAATAAACAGTCTTCATTAAACTTGATTGACGCAGAGCAGAGAGCTACAGTTGCCGGTGGCAGCAGTAATAATAATGCCGTCGAGACTGCGACATCTAATATAAATGATAACAATTCTAATCCAAATGCAGATTTAACTTCTGGTATGACAGAGCCTGTCACACCAGTGGGTATTTCAAATAAAGAAAACAACGTCACGGAAGACGCAGCAAAGGCTGTGACTTCATCGAACACAGAAAATCAGGACAATAATGAGTTGTCAGTGAAAGTAAATGCTGAAGCTAAACAAGATAATCAAAACAAAGAATTGTCAGCTGAGGTATGCGGATTTAAAACAAAGATATCGAAATAATATTATTTCTTAATATAATTTCTGAATAACAAATTATACTTTTGTCGCACATTTTTAGGAAAAGGTGGAAAGAGCGCGACAGTTGATTGAGCTCCAACGAAAGCAACGATTGGAGGAGGAGCAGAAGAAGGACCGGGAACGTGAGATCGAACGACGCAAGATGGGACGCGATGTGCAAAAAATGCGACAAATGCAGCAAGATTTGGAGATAAAGCAGGCTCATGAGGAGAGAATGCGAGAAAAGGCTGCGGAGACTGCAGCTCGCGAGAAAGTTAGGCAACAAATTGCTCAAGATAAACTGGAACGGAAGCAGAAAGAGCTTGCGCTGCAGGTTAACATCATTTTAATCATTAACGATTTTTTCGCCCAATTAGAATCAACTTAAAATTTCTTTCCTTTTTTTTTTAACAGCAACAAATGCAGCAACCGCAGTGTCAAGAGCAACCCAGATACAATCCAGCACCTAGTAACGCGACTGTGACCAGAATTCAATTTAGACTACCGTCCGGCAATTCGCATACAGGACAATTTGAACCATCCGACACTTTGCGCACCTTACGCACCTACGTTACCGAAAACATCGAGCTACCCTTCCGGCAATTCGCCATGTCGACGTCATTTCCCAGAAGAGAATTAACCAATGAGGAAAATGGCAAAACCCTACTGGAACTTGAGCTGGTCCCGACCGCCGTTATTCTAATTCTTCCTTTAAAAAATGTAAAGAAAATCAGGTTTTCTTTATAAAATATTGTACTTAATTATACATTTCACTTTATATTCTTCTTATATGTTTTCAGTCTAATGTCACAACGGTGGTAACCTCGACACAAGACGTCGGTTTCTTCTCTCGGTTCATATGGTCCTTCTTCACGCCCGTTATTCGTATTTACAATTATATAGTAGGTTACTTTTCCGGCACTAACGGAGACGCGAATCAACGTGGCGAGTCCAACAACGATTCCGTAGAAACGAACAACCCCGACAGAGGAATTTCATCGAATCGGCGAAATGTAGTTCAATCTTCGGGGTAGGTTTTTCAATTCGAACATTTTAAACAATCTCGCATACACGAGCGCGATTATAAAGGCTACATGCATTCGCATGGCATTTGAATAGATTTGACAAAATTATATAAAATATATAATTTTCAACATATTAATATTAAACACATTCGTGATGCAGTTTGTTTAGAAGATACTTGGGTAATCAAGGAGGGACATCGATCAGAGCGCAAGGGAATATACACAGATTACATTCAGATGGGGATGATAATGACGAGAATAATACTTGGAACGGTAACTCTACGCAGCAAATGTAAAGTAACGCGAGTCAAGCTCGAGTCACGTTGCAAGCAATCGCTATTCAGCCAATTGCTATCCCCGTTATATAAAAATCGTTACGTTATATTCGACACACTCTTTTCACTCTTTGTTGTTGTACAACGTGTCAAAACTTGTCTGCAACATACTTTCTATTAATGCACAAGCATTAAGTTCGACGAACGTGTCGTTCATAGTGTCATAATGTTTACATGTTCGTCGGTAGCATTGCGAGAACGAGTATTTGTTAATTGATACTTCACAATTAGCAATAATGTGATCATTATCTGGATTGTTATCATAATATATAACGTTTATTATAATGCTAAAGTGTGTAACAATGCATTATAATAAATGATGAAAATACATTTCGAGAAAAAAAAGATCGTGGGAGTATTGAGCCACACAAGTGATACATGGACCAAATGTGAAAAGATTCGTAAAAATCAACGTGCAAACTAAAAAAAAAGTTTTGGGAATGTCTAGATTTTAGATAATTGAAATTTTAATATTTATATAGATTTATTCATCTTAAGTTTGATGATAATGTAAGTTTCTTCTTTTATCGGACTTATTTCCTTTTAATTTTGGATAACAATAGAATGTTGTCCGAGCGCGATTAAAAATAACGATAATTAATTACATTAAAATTTAATATACATTTCGTTGATGATGTTAATATATAAATACACGGTGCCTTGCCGTTGCGTGTAACACTTGGCACTTGGGAGATATTACCGTGTCTCTTCATTTATTATTTTTCATTATATTTAGCATAATAAGAGTGTAATAATGAGTCAAGATATAATTATAGTCAGACTAACTAGATTCCGCGGAATCCCTATATGTAAATGTCTTTATGCGAAATTAATATAATTAGGGATGGTTATTTTCTCCGAAAATAGTAAATGAGCATACGGAATACGAAGGATGCAGGCCTGTCTTAATGCCTAAGGAAATAAATACAAAGGTTCATGGCATTGTTTCGTTTGTGAATTGAATCCTTTTCCGTATACTTAACACGAAATACGCATATATGTGTATATTATGTTTATGGTAAAGGATCGACGGCGATTTATATTAAATTACATTTAACAGTTTCCCAATATTTGCGTGCTGAATATGGCGTAATATTGTATATGTAGGAAAGCATGAATACAAAGTCGCAAGTGAAGAGTTTTCATGTGTCGAAACATGACTCCAAAAATATGTTCAAGGCGAGAGAAAACAAACGCCAGGAACCTGTCGTTCCATGTCGCGTATCGCGCGGATGTGTTTAAGAGGACCGAAGATATATCTTAACTTACACTTGCCACTCGCTAATTAAGCGTGAAATTAACAAACATTTTGGCTTACCAGTCACCGCAAAGGTTTCAATTTTCTAAATGTGAGACGGCAACAGCCTATCAGAGCGGTACTATACATCGGTAACATGATCTCGCAGTCACACCCACTGACAGTTTCTACAGAACTCTGTCCGCGCTTCACAAAATCCTTACTATAAATCAGATAAAAGGTTTTTGATTTTCGACCAAGAGGCAAATATTTTCAGAAATAATTTCATTAAAAAAAAAGATTTATCATCGTAATTAAAGATTTTAAATACTATTTTAGCTCGAAAATGATTTCTGAAACTGATTTGTGCAATAGAATTCTAAGCAGGTTGTATAAAGTTTAAAAGAAATTTATATAATTTATTTCATTATTTTTACATCAATTTAGCGTGTGCTTGGCCATTAAAACAATCTTATTAAAATCGTAGTTTATTTTAAAAGAGCAAGTATGCCGAAATGCGGTATGATATAAATCCGCGGATATTCGCGGACCGCTTCTTGGCGGAGTCTAATAATACATCGAAGGCCCAGTTTTTCATGTTTTGGGCAACGCACTCAAAATGATCTCATTACATGTGATAATCTGTAAATATGTGCATCACGTAAGAGGATCTTCACACAACAATTACCATCAACATCAAATAATCGATATAATGATTTTAATGAATACATTCGTTAAATTAAGCAGTGTCACGTTATTAAATTCTTATTAAACAATAACATAATAATTAAATTAAACAATGCACATTTTCCATACGATATAATCAATATATTTTTATTAGCATTATACTTATGCTACGCTTTAATTAAATAGATGGTTAACTAAATTCATATTTTTATATAACGATAATAACATATAAAAATATTTTTTAAATTCAAATCTGATTCAGCCATCATTATTTAAACATACTATAAGTATTTTTGTGTTGAGAATTTATGACAGCCTCCTTTTCCTCTCTTCTTTCTATTAAATTATTAGGCTTTATAACTAAATCAATTTCGCATCACATCTGCTACCTATCATGATTATTAAACGGCGTTCCGCGGCAGTGACAGAAATTTATAGTCACCTCATTACCACCGTTTAGTGGTCGCTACCGTCTCGCGATACGAGATCATTAAAAGCTCCTTCCAGAAACGCACGTGTTTGCCAAGATCCGCCCAGTGGTTTGTGCGATTGGTTGATCTCGCAATGACGTCGTGAGCACGTGGCTCTAGAATACCGCCTCAAGAAACGAAGAATTTGACTTGAGTGCCAAAAAAATATTGTTGGACACCGTGAGTAACCCCGACAAAACAGTCGCTGCTTTCGGCTCTATCGGCTAATCTTCCGAACACATCAAGGGATATCAATGTAACTAGAGAACTTTATTGATTCTTTTGATTATTGTCAATATCGTCGTTTTCTTATGTTTGATTTATTTAAAATGTAAAATAATATATTAACTGAGGATGCTATAGTGAAAATATCGTGCAATCAAGTTTTCGTGAAATTCTATCATCATTTGACTGATTCTTGGAATGTCAATTGAGTAGCGCAAGTCGGGTCTTTTTTTTTAAAGTGAGTGATACTGAGATTGATAAAAAGAATTTAAAAATATAATTCTTGAAAATTAATCCATCAGTGGAAAAACTACAATAATTGTAATGGACGCAGAGTATTCACTTGAGAAAATCGAAGAGACAACTTTATAGATGTTAGTAGCAGAACATTGTTTTGATAAAACGCATTGAAGATGTCCGATGAAGAGATGAAGAAATCAGATTTGTCGAAGGAAACGAGCGATTCTGTGGAAAATCCGAGATTATGCTCCTTCAGCATCGAGAGACTACTAGCACCGAATAAGATAGATGAAGAGGAAAAAAAGTTCTCACAACAGACTGATTTGTCTTTGCTTTGCCAAGAAAGTGAGTAATAATGAAAATGTATTTTGATCTCTATTACAATCGGTTACTAATCATCTGTAGACAAAGACAACGAATAATTTGTTTTCGTTTTGCTTTTTTTCAACAAATTCTATTAATATATTATATTATTATAAACTATTATATAATTATTAAAAAATTATCACTTATTTCTTTATAATTTATGTTTCTATGAAATATTATAAATTATTTATTACGTATAAAGCAGTATATAAAGCACAATTTTTAAAATAAATTTTTGATTAATAGTATATTTTGATATTAAATAACATTTTGCTATAAATAAAAGATAATTTTTCTAAGGTGTATTTTTTTATATTTGAAACTATAATAGATTTTGTAAATAATCTCGATGTAACCTAATCCGTGATGAGAATTAAACAAATTAATCACATTTACCAGATAATGAATTGGAGACGAGAATGCTTGTTGCACCCGATTCATCCATGTCAATGGCGGAGGAAATTGAGCTCGACGATGCTGACATAGTATGCTCGACATCTCCTGAGCCAGAGATGTATTATGGTGAGTTTCATTAGTATCATTACGCTCTATTACATTTTCAGACAATCGCATTTAATATGTACGACATAATGTCTTACTTGAAAAAATATTCTCTCTCTTGTTGCTTTAATTTGAATTAAAGCAACAACGAAAATATTTTTCCAAGATACAAATATATACATTAAAAAGATTTAAAAATTGGCAACAAAAATAATTATCTTAATTGCATTCTTTTAAATGTTTAATTACTATTTAATATCACAAAATTTATTAGGATCAACAATTATTTAGAATTACTTTTTCGAGGGTTAATTTATTATAATAGAATATATGTATTTAATACTCAAGTAATTATCTAAGTAAATAACAGATATCTTTCATTTTTCAAGTACACTTGTACTTTAAAAATGATTTCTTCAATATTCAACAGTATTTTATTACATAGATATGTGCGAAAATAAAATTTGCTTATATGTGAACGCCAATGTCAGAATTTGTATGTCACACAGGTGTAAAACACTTGTATTTATTTTGTTAAATCACCTAATTAATAAAGACGTTTCGAGCAAAAGCAAACATAATAAAGATTTCAGGAATATTTGAATTCGTCGATAATAATCATTGAAATTATTATAGTCAATAACGCCATTATTGCGCATATCGTTGGAAAATACAATTTATAATTAATATACGTATTTGTTCCCTCAAATCAGATAAAACCTGCATATTCGCCGATCGCAATACCGTTTATTTTATTATAATGTCAAATATTGTTAATACGTGTAATATTTCAAAGTCATTTAATTAAATTTTAGTGATATCTGCATATTATTGTAGTTGCTTTAAAATTCAACTTAAAATTAATCTTTTTATATATTTTAATACAATTTTCTACTAAGTTTTCTACTAAAGATATTGAAATATGTAAACATTATAATCTTTTCGTGTTAAATGCTCTCTAAATCTGAAGTGCATAGTCACTGATTATCAATGGTTATTCATTGAATGCATCAAAGTGCCAAGTATTTCACTGGTAATCAGTGAAATTACAGTTAATATTAATAGTTTAATTATGGATTATGAGTGAAATTATAGTTAGATTATAGATACTGACTCAATCAGTGATTTTTCAGTACTACTTTTCCACTGATTCAGATTTAGAGAGTGTATAAATTATACAATTGAATAATGTTTTATAGAAATTACGAATTAAAAAAAATGTTATTTTACATTTACAAAGTACAAATAATGTGCAGATTATCTTTAAAATGCAAAAGTTTATATAATTAATAATTGTTTAGCATTGACAGTATTGCCTGTGTACCTTCAGTGAAGAGAATTCCGAATTTTCATTTTCACAATAATTATTCGTAGAATCTAGTGTTAATAGAAAGTAAAAGTAGTCCTTTTAAATAATGATAGTGCAAGATACATGTAAAATCTTCAATTATTTCATTACTTTAAAGAAAACTTCAAAGATTACTCTTTGAGCTCGTCGAGAATTAGATCGCCATTCGCCGACCGATTTTGCATCGGTTAGCTGGCAACATTATTACGGGTATTAGAGGAACTAATTGTTATATAAAATCCACATGAGACTTCTCTTGCGGTAACGAATCTGTAAGATCGCGCGGAGAGGACCGTCGCCTGAGAGTTTGATCCATTACTTCCTGCAGGCTCCACGCCTACTCAATGTTTCTCCTCTTCGTCCACTATTTATCTGTCTCCCCTGCTAATTCTACCATGGATCTGCGGCAACTCTCTCTTATTTGCAGTAAATGTAAAAAAGTGGTGCCGGTAAGACTTCTCTGAAATTTTTTCCGAGACGTTATTTTTATTACAAAATTGTATTTGTAATCATTGCTTAACTTCAAACTATAACTTTATAATCTTGAAAGTCCGAGACACCAAAGCTTTTTTAAGACGTAATGGTTAATTTGTTATTATTGTACATCACATTATATATCACTGTAATCTGCTCAGCAAATTCTTTCACATAAAATTATTTCCAAGAATCATTATACTGCCAAAATACGATCGCTAGAAGCAGCACTGCTTTTAGCATATTTCAATCATTATCTGACGCACCATAATGGAGAACTGGTTCATGTTTTACGGATAATTAATAACGAGAGTGGAGGGACTCAATTCTCCACGGCATCTCACACGCCTTCGAGGATCTCAACGACTAATTTCCATCCGAGGGCACGTAACCGCGTCGTGATTTACACGCCGTAATGGCCGACGCGATAAATTCGAGATCTAAGGAAAGGACAATTCTCGTTTGCGTCACGTTGTGCGTTGGGACTGAGATATGTGGGACGTCGCGTCCAACTACAAAGCCGTCAACGCGGTACGTAAATCTTTGTGCAAAACAGCATAAAGAGCAAGGGGGTGATATTAGAGAAGCACTTCTTGATGAGCCCATTATAATATTGAGCGATAATTTTGTATTCATATATGACATCTTTGATGATATATATTTTAATCTTTTACTCGGTTATTACAAAATTTTCTATCAAAATATTAACGACATTAAGATAGAAGTATGATTCGTAAAAATTTAAGTAAGACTGAATTTTCGAATATATTTTCTTGCCCGAGTTATTAGTATGTTCGTTGAGAAATTCAAATTTTGAGTAATTACACTGTGAACTGTTTAGATATTATGATCTTGACTGGCAACAAAGGACCCAGTCATAAAGTCATCTTCGGAGCAGATTTGCCAATCGTCGCGACTCGCGTGCAAATTAATTATACTCGGGGTTGATTGCGGGAATGAAATGGCCGGCAACGTCAGACGTATGAGATTTTGGCCGCGCTTTATCGCGCACTTCTGCGTGCTTTCGTACCATTCGTCACCGAATAATTAGGGGACAAGTTCGCCGTGGCTCGCAGCAATTAGGTAAACTAGAAGGCGTGGTATTCTATTTCCGCGACGTCCAAACGTGTCCCTCGAGCTTCACTCCTCTTCTCGCCCTCCGTGTCGTCGACTCCTTTTTGCGGTCGCTTCCTCTGCACCAATCCTTTCCCACTGCTTTCCAGAGCTCGTTCGTCAATGCAACCGAGTCAGAAACTCGACGACAAATGAGCCGTGCGAGACTCACCCCTTGCAGAGTCTCCTTTCTTCCTCTTCTTTCTGTGTGCTTCCAGTTGTGAGTAGATAATGTGATAATTTCATGTGTATCGTCACATATTGTCAAGGGAATAATCCATTGAACTTAATCTTTATTATTAAAATAATATTTATTATATAATATAAATAACTAATAATCGTTCAAAATATTATTTAGTTTTATGTTCTTAAATAAATATAAATAAATTAAAATTATTTAACTCTTTATATTAAATACACATATATAAATGTAAATAGTTAAATAATTTTGATCAATTTGTATTTTTATATAGATATATTAATTTATATTATTGTCGATTAATGTGCACTGATGTATAATATTTGAAAAAAGTTATATTATGGTTTGTTAAAACAATAAAAATTTGAACGTTTTTATAATATACGGAATTTCGAATGTCATATCATATTCTGTAAATGTATCTAAAAGATATACGGTGATCCAGAAACGAAATATTATCACTGCTACAACAGCATGATTCTCTTTTGAGACGTGGATAACTGCATCGAGTGTGCATGTCGGTAGTGCATTTTCGCGCGAAGTGAATTAGAGGCGGTACAGTTTTAGCCGACAATTCTGCAGTAGAGCTATAGGCGAGGAAGCCACGAAAAAGGCGCGAGAAACGCGACAATTACGTCGCCATCTGACAATTAGTAGCCAGTAAACGGCGCTTCTTGGCATAATGTCGCCGTGAATAGCTTCTTCGGAATATTTATTATCCGAGCGTACGAGAAACCACCTGAACTGCCTGAAATTGAACGGCTCCTTGCCGTTTCTCTTCTCGTAAGTTGATTGGTTTCTAATTGAAATAACTTATGCCAATGTTTATGTAAATAGTTAAATAGTAGAGTAGATGTTGTTTCTATTTCAGATTTTTTTAATATGTAATTGTCAGTATTTTTAATTCTAATTTCAGTCTTAAGATAAGATATAATTAATTACAAATTTTCAACACTTTCGACTTATAATCTTTATATTTATATACATATAAATGATAAATAAGTTGAATAAAATAAAAATTTTTGAGATTAATAAATATTACTGTTTAAAAAAAAACAGCTCGAAAAGCTATTGAAGGAATATCAAGATAATTTAAATGACGATCAATATTAGTGTAGGCATAATATTCTCAGCATTCGTCGCAAGCGTGAAAGTTCGGTCGGGCTGTTGCGATGCCACACTTTTTCGTCGGATGACGAATGGGCAGATAATTAGAAGATGATCCTCCGACGCTTAAGAGACCGGCGGTCTTGTTACCAGCCGCCTAAAAGCGAGCCCGAAGACATTCTTCACGACACGCGGCGCGCCGTCGCGCACGGCAAGAGTCTTGTAAAGCCGGGATAAATATAAATATAAACAACTTCGACGTACAAAAAAATCTCGAGATTGATGAGAAAGAGGGATTCCACGAGGGTAATTGGAGTCTCCGCTCGCACTCAACGACATGGCTTCACGCATGTTATTCACTTCATTCAAAAGCGATTAAAAGGATAAAGATACGGTGTCCGCGACGTGTACAACGGGCTGCGAATGAATAATGACGCGATTTCGATGCTCGCATCAATTATTCGCACGCCGCTGTGATACTTTCTCGTTTCCACGTCGGGGGACTTTGTAATTTGCAGTTACTTAATCGGGCCGTATTTGAGATCGGGTTTTCTTCCGTTACACACCGATACACGCATCCGATCATCAAAGCGACATTTACATGCGGGTATTAAGGTTCGATCGCGCCTTTCGCGGTGTCATAAGTGTCATCGTACCGTTGATACATGCCGTCGTTAATTGCCTGCGGAATATAGCTTAAAAAGTTAAGAGCTTATACTTCAGCGGAGCGGCTGTTCGTGTTGCTTATCTCGGTATAAAAGGGGTGGAATATTTTTACAGAAGCGTGCACCAGCAGTAGCGGCGCGAATTCAACCACGAGCGCGGACAGAGATGTCCAGGAGAAAGCCGTTGCCGCTATAAGCGACGACGAAAGGAAGAAGAGGCCACGCACGGCGTTCACCGCCACGCAAATTAAATCCTTGGAAGCGGAATTCGAAAGGAACAAGTACTTGAGTGTGGCAAAACGGCTGCAGTTGAGCAAAAATTTAAAGCTCACGGAAACACAAGTAAATATTTTATTTTTTTCGAAATAATGATTTTTTTTTTAAATTTATTTCTTTTCAAAAGAAACAATATCATAATTTTAATTCAAGACTAAATACTAGTTGTCTTTCATTCTAATGCTTTTAAAGGACTTTAATAATTCTGCTGTCAATTATTCCTATATTGAGTTCCGTGTCATAAACAACTTTAATTGGAACAGAACGCAGAAGATCGAAGCAGTTCTAGCCCAAAACAGGATATTGTACTCAATAAATTGCGATAATGCCTTCGACTTCCGTAGAATCTTTCTCAGCACCTGAAAGAGTTTAAGTGTGTCTCTTGCACTTCGAGTTCTTTAAAAATCAACTAATTCTAAATTATGAGCCTGTGGAGCACCATATGTGCAGGCGCCAGGTCGTGGCGCCATGGGGGAGGATCGTCCTTTAAAACCAATTAGCACTTCTACCCTTCTTTCTCGCGAACTGTTGTGGAAGGAAGCTTTTTGTCACGTATTTAACCTTTTTAGAAGTTTTTTATTCGACGTAACCGGAACTCGACTGTATAGCGTTTTAAAATAAAATGTATAAAGCAGGCTTTACGCCAAAATATTTCATAGAATTTGGAGCAGCATATTAGAAATTATATCGCATAAGTTATATTACGTTTATATAAATACGATAATTTAATAGGTTCATAACGTTAGCCTAAAACGCATTCTACAATTTTCTCTTTGCGTTGTCACTGAAATCTCGCTCTTATTCCGACATCGTCCATAATCATGCCACGGACTTTCCGCGATATTATCTTCTAATATTAACCGGTCCCGGAGAGAGTACTCTATAATTTTCTAACATGACGATTCTCCTCCACAAAGCTCGCAAAGTGCAATGGTTGCATAAGTCTCGGCAATGCACTTTGTAGCGCGCGCTTGATACTCGCCCGCGCTTTAAACTAATTAATTTACGACCCGCACCCTCGAAATATTCGCCATCGCCGAGATTGCGCCACGCCGTCATCGCCGACCAGTTGCTCGCCGGCAATAATTGCCAGCGCCGGTCGAAATATCGCGAACGAGCCGGATAATTATCTCTGCAATCGCGGTCGAAAGGAAGAACGATCGGACGACGGATCAGAGGCAAGAAAGAGACGCGTCGTGCCGCAGACATAACTGTCACAATATTTCTCGGAGTTAACGAGCCAGTTCGGGAGAGCCCCTATTTTCCCCTTCTCGCAAGCCCATCTCGTACGTTCCGTCGTCGCGAGGCCTTGCATCCGCCGCGGAACGAAATGTACCGAGCGACGGCTGCTGCGCGCCGTCGAGGCGACGAACCGGAGAGGCGTCGATTTTTTAATTAGAATACGTCGTCGGCCCCTTCTATTTCTTTGAGAAATTTCAATCTGTATAAAAGATGACATTATTTTTCTACAATATGCTACTGTTCATTAAAATTGAACACTATATAAGAAAACGAATATGTTTTAGCAATTTTATGAGTAGATCTACATAATATATATTAATTCTAAAATATAAAACAGAGATTTAAAATATATTCATTCGTATTCATCATTTATAAATAATATATTATTCTAAATTGCTACTTCTTTTTTATTTATGTTTAATTATGGCACGTATATTTTTTGTAGTGTCAAAAACATTAGAATTTTTATGATCAGAAGCACCTGATAGCAACTTTTAAAAAAAATCAACGATTACTTGATTTCACATAGTTAGCAAATATTTTAATTAACTGACAAACTTCCAATATTTCATGCATCACGCCTGAATCTCTCTTAATTTTATATCTTTTGCAGATAAAGATATGGTTCCAAAATAGACGGACTAAATGGAAAAGGAAATACACTAATGACGTCGAGCTATTGGCGCAGCAATACTATTCGAGCTTAGGAATTCCAGCACCACGACCAATTTTTGTCGGTGATCGCTTATGGTAAAAATATAATAAAAAATACAATAATTTCTCCAACAAAAGTTTCCTTCTTGTAAAAGATATACTCTTTGTCTCGCAAGACTTTAGTGCTAATAAATTTATGTAAACGCTTTTATAAGTAATGATCAAGATATTTATTTTTTTAAAAACAGTAGATTATTATAGAAATAGGTATAACTTGATCAATTGATTTTTCAAATAGAAATTTTGAGAAATTAAAGCTACAGAAAAATCTTGCTTTTTTCCAAACTGCAATTAAAATGAATTTATTTAAAAAAAAAACATTGATCCAAGTAAAATGTAAATCATGTAAAAAAAATAAAAAAAGGTGATTTAGACACATGATTTGATCTCATAATATGAAAAAGGAATATATTCAGATAGTTTTGTTCTCTAATTTCGCGATTGCATTTTCGTTCTTAATCAATTAGTATGAATTACGTTTTGTGATATACTAACATATGTTTTTTTGCAGGTTTTTCAATTACCCGGGACAATCGCCACCGGGAGTACCATTGCTCCCGCAGCATTTAACACCGTTGCCATTACCTGCATTACCTGTTGTTCAATCATTGCCCAGTAATTTATCGATGAGACAACAAACATCCATTTTTCAAAACGTACCAACCAGTCATCTTGCACATCATCTAACTCAGAGACTGGACTTCAGGCATCATGATACTTAGTTTCCGGGTAAATTAATTTCCGGTGAATAATTATCGGTGACCAGTCATATAAAACTAATTAATTATAATTCGTTACGTCGCGTATGTGCACGAGGCTATGAAATCGGACTTGTTTGCCAGCGATAACGATCGCTATAATTAACGTACTTTTTTGTGTATCGCGTACCATATCAAAGTACCGATCTAACGCATAGCTGTCATTATTTTTTATCAAGTTAATATGAAATGGATTTTTATCAAACACATTATTATTTATTTATGAATATTTTTTGTTGGCTTCAAAATTAATTAAAAAATTATAATTAGTGAATGTTAATATACTTGAAATATATACAAGAGAAATGACGTTCTCCAGCAATCCAAATACATTTGTAGAAACAAGTAAATTCAAGTTTATTAGTTTACATATATGTATACATTGCAACATTGATAATTTAGTGTTTGTGTCGAGAACGAAAATAAAGACGTTTGCCAAATTCATATAGAATTCCATTGGCCATAAGATAGCTATTGCCGAACATACATATATATGTAAGTTCACCATATCTCCAAAGAATTAAATTATTTCATGGTATGAAATGAAAGGAAATGAATGAAATCAAATCATAATGTAATTAAATGTATTACTTGAATAGGAAATATAAGCTCATATAGTTTTTAGCGCAAAATACTTTTTGATAGAGCAAATGAAATTTCGCGAAATTTGGTGATACAAAATTTGTGTAAAAGTTGAGGTGAAATATATATTATTCGTAAATTTGTATGACTATCTTTTTATATATACATTTATAATAAGGATATATAATACACATGTACAAAATAATTTTTAAAAATTATTGTACATGTAAATTTAATACAATATTTGTAACGCTGTTTTTTCAAGGAAAATGAACAAAATTGAAGTATTTACATATTTAAATTAGTGATAAATGCAAATACAAATGACACTGTAAAACCTGATGTATATCATAAGAGTGAAAAAAATAAAGTTGTAAAATTTTTTAGGAATGTGTATAGGTGTACATACAGGTTTATGTGGGATTATGTGAGAAATGTTTATCATACAAAATTTACATTTATTATCACAGAACAGTTGGAGATAAAATTTTACTAACTCCCAAAATTTTATCGTCGTGGGCCGCCTGATCCTGGATAATTTTTGCATATTTTTCGTTATCCTGTAAATCCTCTTCATCCAGCATTTCCTGCATTCTCTGTTTGTATCTAGAATTTTCAAAACTTGTATAAATGATCATCATAAAAAACAATTTTGAACTTTTACATATAAATGATACTCACATTTCGCTATCAGGGTTATTTTCTTGATTTCTGCATTTATCAAGTTTCTTCTCTAAAGCTTTTACTACTTCTCGCGACGGTGGTTCCACACATTTAGCCATTGAACGTATTTCTGTAAGAGTTAATTTGTAAATATAAATAGCCTAGGGCTCTTGAGGGCACATGCAAATATCGTGCAATACATAAAACGTAATTACTTCGCACAGCTTCTATAATCCCACCCAATTGCTCCCTCGAGAAGAGTATATCAGTAACATAATTATCTAGATTTGCGGAAGCTCTGGATGCCGCGTGCAAAGTTGCAGCCAACGCAACTTGGCTCGGAGAGTAAAGAAGAACGCTGTCCGTCAGGAAAACCCTTTCTAAGAATTCATCTATGTGTTGCCTTAATTTTTCAGGATTTTCCAAAGACGTGTATCTTGTCTGTAAAAATATGCGTAACGTATTTATTTTTGTCACACATATATACACACATATAAGAAAACCAATGGAAAACCATATATACCTTTATATCAATCATCAATCCTTCAACAGGCCTGAATGGATTATGAATAGTAAGATTATAATTCAACTGTTGCATGAGAAGTAATTCATTATTAAGAATTATGTCAGACGCTTTCTCTCTATCTCCTTTAATATTTGCTACAAATTGAGATATGGAGACGTTAAATTCTTCAACCTGAAAATAGATTTTTCATATGAAAGAACTGAAATTACAAATGACTATGAAATATGGTGCACCAAGAAGAGAAATAATTACTTTACACGCTAGATAAACGCAAGTGACGAGAATCTCTTTCGGATGATAATCCATCACACTGTTTCTGAGGTAAAACCTTTTAAAGTAATGTAAGGCAGTGGCTACAGTAGCACGTGGCATCGGTGGATTGAATCGGCGACAGAAGTCTCTCAATTGTAATTCGTAGAAACGGAGCAGGGTACGCTCCTCCGAGTGCGAGAGAAAATGTTCCTCCCTTTCTTCGGGCTGCGTTATAATTACAAACATTTGTAGTTATATTATTTGTTAGTTTAATCAATTTGTAGAGATAAGTATAGGAAAAATGTAGTAATAAATTAAAAATAAGCAATACTTTATGCACATATTTAGTGCAAACATAACCTAGATTTACATCGACGATATTTGATCGCGGAAATCACAAGTGCACACACGCAGAAATAGACACGCAGATACATCGTTTTAAAAAGCGACAGTTTCAAATAAATAATTATGAAAAAGTAAACTCTCACAGTCATGTTGGCACCATGATTTGCGATAAAATCAGCGTTGGTTTTCTCCCTCAACGTCGTCAAATCGTTCTCATCGCTAAACATCCAGTATTTCTTTTGCGAGCTATTTGAAAACATCTTGGCGACGCGAGAGATAAACAGGAAAAGAAATAAAGCAAACACAAATCGCGATCAATCGTCAGGATCGCGTGAACGTAAACGCGACCGACACAGCTGACTGTTGACACACTTTACTCTTCGACTGAAATTACAAAGCTTTTTCGGTAGTTTCGGGCATCGGGAACTTGTTCACTGGCGCCTCTACCGTGCACAAAACGTAGACGTTGAACTATGTGGCCACGGATATTTACTGCCGATAACATATACATCTTCGTGAATATATATTTATATTTTATACGAATTTTTACAATATAAAATACATACGAATTGCATAGATGCAATGAAAAAGACCAATTCCATATTCAAAACATTCTTACAAGATCTATGCTAGCGCGCTAACAAGTCTAAAATTCTATAATATGATTATCGTATATATATTTACTGTCGATAATATATCCACGATTTTCGAAGTGAATTGTATCATAAGATTTATGAGTATATCATTTTATACGAACTTACAATATAAAATACGTTTGTAATTGTATAGATGCAATGGAAAGACCAATTCCGTATTCAGAACATGCTTATGTAAACTCTGTGTTAGCGGTAACAAGTCTAAAATTCTATAAAATGCTGCAAATTCGTATTCTCCCCCGCTACCTACCGTTCGCAAAAAGTGCTGCGGCGGTCGCATTACCACGCCCCTGCGCTCCCCGCAGCATTTACTGCGCGTCACCGCCGTCACCGGCGTCACTTTTGGCGTGCCGTCGACCGGCTGGACACGAAAAAGATCGGTTCCGGGTGAATAGCGTATAGCGTCGCGATTCGATCTAAAAATGGTAAAATCCAAATTAATTTATATTTATAACTGATTGCGCTACACAACTACGGCGTAACTATCGCGTATCGATACTTTTATATATATTAATTTCATCAATTCGAGCGCGCGTGATTTCGCATAACCTATATTTCGACTGAAAATGTATGAGCGCGCATAATCGACAACTATTTTCAGATCTCTATAGCTATAATTTTATCTTGCACATTTAACTTATGCGAAATAACAATGAAAAGCATATATTATTTATGTATCGAATTTCAGCAAATGCGACGTCAAAACGACGCTACGTTGCGCCTCGAGTAGCATAGAAGCAAATGACGTCATATTGATGTTTATTCTTACATTATTTGCGACATATAAGTGACAAATGAAGTGATAATGACGTCCATATGATATCATATGACTTCATAATGATATCATTATGATTTTTGTGTTCTACCTGGGGCCGCGACGACGTTATTGCGCGTCCTGCGTCGTAATTTCGAGGAACAGATAATAGATATATGCTCGCTTTTTATTGTTATTGCGTATTGTAATACAAGTAGAATGTACCATACAATAAAAAAAGAAACTTATGGCGTATGGACAAACGCGTAATTAATGAAAGCGGCGTAATCATCCCGCGTGCGATTAGCTTACGCGAAAAAGCATCGTGGCGACGCGGTGGCGGTGGCGCGGCGATACGCTATACATCGATCTTGATTTTCAGCCGAACGAGTATTGCGAAATACGCATCTGACCGAATTGGAGTGCGAGTGCCGTATATTACGCGAGTCAGATGCAAGATTGATGTAATTATGATTTATTAATCAAAGGAGTCGCGGCATCGCCCAAGTCGTTTCTGATGCGGTCAACTTCACGCGTCAAAAGCGACGCGGTGCGCGGCGTCGCTATTAATGCGTCCCCTGTTCTTCTCAATAATTCTGGACAATTATCTATCAACTTATTGCTTATGCTTGAGCTCACGATAAACCTTGTTATGTTGACGCGTCAGTGTATTGCAAATCAATGAAATATATTATTCGTTTAAAATTTATAACCGAATTATTGAAATTTTGTAGATATATATTTTTTATTTTTAAGTCAATATTAATTATAATCTTTTTTGTGAGAAAGCATTGTTATAATTATATTTATTTTTATTGCATAATATTTAAAGTTCGCGGATTTTATCCTAATTTTTTATAACCTATCCATTTAACAGCTTGACTCTGTATCAATAAATACATAAAACAAAATAAAATGACGTTAGATCCAATGAATATTTTATTGTGGAATAGAACAATTTTTTTATGTAGAAAATTATCTTCAAGTTGATAGTCACTTTAATTTATACATTATAATAAATGCATAATATAGTCTGAATTAATACTTTTATTTTTTATACGTCGTATTAAATCTAATTTTATATTGTAACGACATTTTGCAATATAATAATGAGATAATTATATAAATGCAAATATAAAAATTTGTTAAAGACGAATGTTATGTAGACGAAAAATTGCAATTAGCTATTGATTCCGGCGAAGAAATCATCGTCCTCTTTGAATCTTACGTCATTTATTTTAAATATCTTATTTGATAAAGTTTAATTGTAACGTAATATTAAATAATGGTTAAAAATAACAAATAATGATACAAATACGGTTTATTTGCCTAATGATTGATTGATTTATTTATTCATTGATTGATTTTTAAATATTGTTCAAATTCAGATATTCGTGACAGAAATCATTGTGCATCTGCAAGAAGAGGCGATCTGACAGCCCAATTCTGAGGAGGAGGCCTAGGAGAGCATCGGGCTCCGGCGGAGCAACTTTGGGGTGAATATAATATTTTTATTTATAAAATTATTTTTTTTCATTTATCCGAACTGTTTTTGATCTTAATAAGTTTATAATTCAAAAAAAGGAGCCCATCTAAAATTTTGGAAAAATTAATTTTTGTAAAGATTTTTTCATAAAGTTGATAATTTTAATTTAATATAAAATGTTTTCGAAAATTGATTAAAAAATTTGATGTGCCAATTTTTTAAAAGAATTATCTTTTGATAGATTAATCCTTTTAAACGCGATTTTAACTTGAATCTTATGTTTGTTGCAGTATCATCGTAGCTTTGTGGCAGATAACTCCGCCCGTTGCGCTTCGTGTTGGTGAGTAAAACATTTTTTATATAAAATGGGTTAACAAATCTGTGAAACTTGTATGCTTTTGTATCCATATAATAGGATGCAGATAACTGCAACTTCTCACAGATTTGTTGCTCTAAAATAGATAAATTAATTTGTTTTAGCCTCATTAAATTTTATTTGTATTTTAAATTAAATATAGTTTGCTTAGGAAAGTTCCAAGTTTAGTCAATAAATTGCAAGTATATTCGGTTAAATAAAACAGTTTACATATAAAATATTGATTTTGCAATACAGCATATAATTTTATCATAATTTTTTGTAATTTATTCAATCCCATCTAAAAAAGTGTAAAGTCGATAACTCGCATTTCATAACATTTATGCTACATAGGTATATTTGTCTTTTCATTCTATTATTTATATCTCTTTTTGCTCAACTAATATACATATATATAATTTTATAGTGATTATTCTAATTATCTGAATCTTTATTAATTATAGAGTATTCTGTGTATGTACATATGTGACATCTTTCATATCTGATAAAGAAGAAAATTTATGATTTAGAAAATTTATTATTTTAATAAAACATTAAAATATTTATTCAACTGCGATTGAATAATTAAGTATCGATTAGGATTATTAAATCAAAATTTAATAGGTATTACAATAAAAAATTTTAAAATTTTGAATAAATATTATTAGTATCTTTTTTTAAAATGGAGGGACTGACTTATACCTCTTTTTTGTTCGCCATTTCTTTATCGAAAGTTTGCATCTACATATACAAGATTATTATCGTATCATATTACGATATCATTATAACGAATCTTAATTCTTAATTACGCTTTGTTGTAAACATATGTTATATTGGATATTAAGACGATACTTTTTCCGCATAATGTCTTAACATGTAACGTATAGTATGTATTTACTGAAATCTATAATTTTAAGTTAAAAAATATAATTAATTAATTTAAGTTACAAAGTTTTGCCAGAATAAAAACAGAAAGAAAGAGAGAGGAGGAAATTGAGAAATAGAAAACACACAGAGCAATGGAGATGAGATCGAACGATAGAGATCGATTGATTGATTTATTTATTATTAGTTTTCTTATCTATTTTAAAACATAATCTTTTAGCATCCGCTTAAATGTTTAACTCTTTCGCAACTTTTCCTTTACCTTAAATGATAAGGCATTGTACACTTGATAAAGAAACTTATTTTTCTTATTTTTAAAGATAAATGTATGCACTTTATAATATAACCTCTATTCTACGGACTGCAGCTCTTTCAGCATGTATTCCGTTCGTTGCATGTTTTCGGTAGATCTGTCACATTGTAATATAGCTCTCATGGCTCGATTTTGTGCTTTTCGTAATTCACTCAGTTGTTCTGGATTATCAATCAATAGTGTCTCGCAATATTTAAAGTGAGGTGATATAATTGATTTATATATAATACGCTTGGTGCAATCGGAAAACAAAACTACAAAACTACCAATTCTATTTAAGAAACTCGTTTTTTTTCCTATCTTCTTTAGTATATAATTACAGTGATTTTTAAATTGTAGTTTATCATCAATAATTATACCAAAAAATTTTTTTTTTTTTTCACGCTCTATTTCAGTTCCATCTAAACACTTCACTATAACATCTTTTATTTGTTCTTGTGTTCTACCTTTAACTTTACTATCATAATTTACTATCATAAATTTTGTTTTCTCTGTATTTATTTTTAACTGATTTATATTCATCCACTTTTCTACTTTATTAAATACCATATTCATTTTTTCCTCTAAGTCCTCACTACTTTCACCAGTCACATATATTAGTATATAATTATCTGCAAAAATTTTTATACTGCATTCTTCTGGGCATACTTCAATTATATTATTTATATATATTATAAATAATAAACGCCCTAATACAGATCCCTGAGGTATTCCATATTTCGTATCTAATAACTTTGACAATTTATTATTAAATCGAACCTGCTGTTTTCTACCCTCTAAGTACGATTTTAACCACTTTAATACCTTTCCCTTAATTCCATATAGATATAATTTTTCTAATAATATTTCTCTATCTATTGTTTCAAAAGCCCGTTTAAGGTTCATAAAAATTACTCCTATCATTTTTCTTTTTTTTCTAATTATTTTCCATTCGTTGATGACGATTTGGATTTCATCCGAATATTGTTCCCTAAAACCTAACTGATGTTCTGTTATAATATCGTTATCAGTCAAATATATTTCAATTTGCCTTTTTACTGCTAACTCTAAAACTTCTTGCCATATTAATAACTCATGAATAGATCTATATTCACTCGCTTTTTTCGCGTTTTCTATTTTTGGAATCGGTATGATTATGGATGTTTTGCATGTTTCTGGACAACACCCTTCCCTTAAGAAAGTATTTATTATATCAACTACCTCTTCATTTATTATATTCCACATCTTTTGTAACACATCGCTAATTATTTTTATTTGCTCTTTCGTAGCCTTTTCACTTGCACAATAACTTTTTAATAATTTCATAATATTCTCATTCAAATACTCTATGTCAATTTTCATAAATTCATCCGGTTCCTCATTTTCAATTTCGACAGTTCTTCTGTATTTATCCCTATTTATTGAATTTATTATATTATTAATATTTTGTATGTAATATAAATTAAATTTATCGGCTATGTTGCAGCCATCAACGTTATCTAATATTTCAAAATCTATAGCTTCAGTTTCCTTATTGCCAATTGGCTCACCTCTTACCATCTCTTTCAAGATTTTCCATATATTTGAAGGATTATCCTTATTAAGATCTATCATATTTTCGTAATATTCTTTTTTCTTAATTAATTCAACTACTGCATTTTTTTCAGTTTTAAATTGCAACCAATTTTGTTCCGTATCATCACATTCCTTATTCCATGTTATTGGAATTTTAATGAATTCTTTTTCAGGTATTGTATTATCCAGTATATGTTTCATGTTATCTTCAAATTTTGCAACTCTGTCACTGATATTCAAATCGCGAATTTGTTCCAGATTATTAATAAAAAATCTACGAAAATCGTCTATTTTAAATTGTTTATAATCCCTAGCACTGTATTTTTTATATTTATTCTCCGATCTATTCCCATTCAGTTCCACTTTTAACCATGAATGATCCGCTATTTTAGATTCATGATCTACTTGTACTTCTACCTCCTTATTAGCAAAGACTAAATCTATCATTGTTTCGGTTTGTTTTGTAATTCTTGTTGATCTATTAACATATTGTTTCATACCTACGTTTAGCATTATTGTTTTTAATTTCTTCATATTAATCGAGTCATTCTTAAAATTTATATTAAAGTCTCCTATTACCATACATTCTCCTCTTCTTTCTATTAATTTTTCTACTATATCCTCTAGAAATTCTCTAAAATCACTTGCTTTTGTTTTCGGTGAATTATAAAGTACCATTATAACACCTTTATACATTTTCTCTTTTATTTTTATCGCAGCACACCAGCACTTCGAGTCTAACTTTCCATTCAATACTTCCTCATATTCAATATCATGCCTAATATATATAATAACTCCTCCTGTATATCCCGTTTCAGCATCACATCTGACCATATGATAACCCGATACATTCACTTCAGCGTCTTTAATTTTTGTAGTTAATCTGGTCTCAGACAGCGCTATCAATGCAGGATTTTTCTTCATAATCTGATGTATCTTGTCCTTATTCTTCATCAAACTACGCACATTTGTATATAGTATTAGCTCTTCTTTCTTCTTCTCTTTGGCTGCTTCACTGTAGCTTCTTTGCTCTTCTCCTATTGACCCACCAGCTGCTCCTGGCATCATTCTTCTTAAATCTCCCAATTCTTGTTTAATAGGTTCTATTTCTTCTCGAACTGCTTCTTTAATCATTATTTTGATTTCCTTCTTGCTTGTTGTCTCATTCTTTATTTCCTCCATATATTTCAGAAGGCTATCTATCTTTACATCAATATTCGATGAGCCACTCACAGCTAATGTTTTATTTTCACTGTTTGATATCGATTCTGCAGATTCTGAAGATCCTAGCCTGTCTCGGCTTGTCGTTGGTGTTGGTACCTCTTCCATATCGACTTTTTTAAGACTTTTACTAAAAATTTTTCGAATGGATTAAACACATCATGTCATGCTTATTTATGATACTATAATATATGATTATTATATGATTTACTTACACATTCAGGATAATAAAAATAAAAAAGCTTCATGCATGTTTTACATGCTATCCCAGTGCTCTTTATTGCCTTTTTACATGCCAAGCATTGATATCGTTAATCGACATATTCGTCATCAATAATACTGATAATTGTCGACCGAAGCTGATACTATCAGTACAATGATTCGCAGGATTGGGTAATGGCTAGTTAAAAAGATAAAAGTTAAGTTAAAAAGTTAAAAAGTTAAATAATTTCAATTTAACTTAGCTACATTTTAGGCTCTTAACTTTTAACTTAATTTAGTTACATTTTATTGGTAACTATTAACTTTTGATCTAATTTTCTTGAAGTTACATTTTTAGTGCTTCTTATAAACTCAAAATAAAATACATGTCTAAGTTAGTGTCTTCAAACTCAAATTTGAGAACATCAAGGCAATTGTAATAATAATAAATATAGTTTAACCACCTGAAGAAATCACTGTTCGCTTCTATGCATTAAATCACGTTGAAAGAAATCCTTCGAAATCGGTCCTCTTTCCGCGGCTCGACAGAAATAAGTATAACAAATATATACTTTATTTAGAAACTTTATTTAGAAACTCTAAAATTATAAAATGAAAAAATTTAACTTTAACTTTTCAATTACTTTTTTTATTAACTTAACTTTTAACTCAATTAATTTTATTATTGACTAACTTGTATCTTAACTAAGTTAAATTTTTAGACTGTAACTAAATTAACTTAGTTAAAAAAATATTAACTTACCCAACCCTGATGATTCGTGAATTTTATTCTTCCTCACGTTAGTACTCTTATGCTCGCCGTCTAATATCTACCTGTCTTACGAGACTTCAGTATCTATCTCGCACAATAAATACACTTTTTATGTTCACAAATCATCATATTTCAGCTAGATAATACTCATAGCTACATCTTGTCTGAATCACTCTATATTTATTAACTTTTTAGCACTTTCTCTTACTATTTCCCTATTTAAAATCGTTTTATTTGTAAAGAGATTTTTAACACGTCTACGTTCAGAGAGAAAGAGAGATATAGAAATATGCCATGTCGCATGCAAGGGATAAAGTATAACTGAAAAAGTACTTATCGTATACGATTGAAAAATACTTATCGTATGATTGAACGCTGACGTGCGTCGCAGGTACGTGTTCAGTTAAAATTGCAACAATAAAGATTAAATGCAACCGACAATATTTTACTGAGCTATAACAACACTGAGAAAAAAAATTTGTTGAAAAACGCAAAATTTGTTTCATTTTACCAAAATATTTAATCTGATACGTTCGAATAAACGTTACTACGATGACACAAAATAATTTGTTACTATTATAAACAAAATACTATTTTTTAACTAAACTATTTTGTTTCAACAAAAATTTATCGTATTTAACTCAACCGTTCTATTATAATAAAAATACACACTATTTATTATCCCCATCAGCATCGCATTAGTCAGTTCGATACTTGGAATTTAAACAAATATATTACTTGGATAACTAAATAGCATGCAAATACAAATAAATACTAGTAATATTTCGAACAAAATAATTTAATTGAGTTGGTTTAGTTAATTCTTAATTAAAAAATTTTGATAGTTGACTTGAATGAACACTATATCTTTCTTTGTGCAACTAAAGAATTGTCGAATTAACTATTGGATCAAACAATTATACAAATTTAGTTTGTACAATCAATTTTTTTGTCTCAGTAAAGTAACGCCAATAATTATTTTATATTGATTATACATATTAATTCTCGAAAGAGAGAATCTCGTGAGTCCCTCTTTCTTTTGTCATTCAGGTCGGATGCGCGATCGCTTACGAATCTTTTGCGCGATGTTACCTGACATGCGTAATCCGCTCTGAGATACAAGTTACTTTATATTTAAAATAATCTTTGCGAAAAATAAGTGCAATTGCAAAGTTACAATAATTTATCTTATACATACGAGTTCGCAGATTAACGTTAATATAATTATAATTAGATCGTAATATCATAATAATATCTTGATATCTGATGTAATGTAAAAAAATGTAATAAAAAGAAATAATTATTAATTATAATTGAATCATAATAGAATTCACTTTTAGATGAAAATCATAATAGAATTCACTTTTTGATCAAGATTTAGATATTGAAGCGATTATGAAATATTTAATACTTTAAAAAAAATTTAATTTGACAATTTTAGTTTTTTTAAATTAAAAACTGCGCACACAGTTTTGTTCAACATTCCGTGAACTTAATTTGACAACGATATGTTATTCCAAGCATAAAATTTTAAATTGATCGACAAGTTGCAATCAGATAAACAAAAATTTAAAACGCGATGTAAAAATCATTTTAATTAAAATATTTACCAAGAATTAACAATTATTCGCAAATTTTTAATTACATTTAATTTAAAATTTTCATTAACTATATTCACGTTTAATAAAAAAGAATTGCATGAAAAATTGTTTTTTAATATGTTTTTTTGTATATAAACTTTGTTAAAATATACTTAATGTTTTATTACCTTTAGGTATATTTTTTTGGCTTAAATTATTTTAATTTTTAGTTTTATTTTTATAAAGTATTTTTATGCAATTATATTCTGTAGCACGGAATCTGCTGACAAACTGTGCGAGCAGCACCACGCGTCAACCTTTAAATTAAATGAAAGCATGATAATCTTTTTTGCTCCATTTCTTTTGTATAACTGTAACATATTTTATTAATTCATATACATACAATTAATTAAAATGCAATGTCTTATTTACACAAAACAAAAGTTTTATATGAACAAATCATTGTTTGATTATCATTACGCATTATCATTTGCTCAACAGGTATATTACTTCCTAAGAGAAGTGAGTTGAAGTGATCTGTTCTAGAGTGCAGCATAAGTTACATTTTGGAACTTTTGACCGACATCAATTTGCATGTCTTTTCATTTCTACTTACATCGATGAATTCTTGCGTGAAAAATATTGCGCGTGTACGATCGATTAAATTTTCATTAAAATTTTTTTAAATATAAAATTAGCAAGATTCACAAAATTAAATATAAGTACATAACAGATGTCAATGAAGAATTTCTTTTTTTATTATGTTTTTTATTGCATTTTGAGTTTTAACTGTAGAATTCACATTGTAGCTGTCGAATTTATATGTTAAAAGTAATAATTAATTACATATATTTTGTTACGGTAGTTTTTGAAAATGGAAAGATAGGTATATGTTAAGATATATGTTTATATTCTCTTTATAGTTTGTGACTATTTTACTAAAATACACAAAGAGAAATTAACTACAATAAAACTCGCAATAAAAATCGTGATTTTTTAAAATAACGTTAATAAAAATTTCAAACATTAACCGTAGTAATTAAAAGCTAATAACAATGAATGCAAATCCATAAACAGAGCCAGTAGCCATATTTCAATGTTGCGGCACGCATTAGAAAGGGTCGCCGCGTTTTCTGGCAACCGGCATGTACGTTGCGGGTAATAAACAAGATCACGGGACCGGGGGTCCCGACGGCGGGGCAACGACGGTAAGGGCAACAGGGATGAAGGGAGGAGAGACGGGTGGCCGATTTTAATATGGACGCCCCCGCAAGCGGTTGTGCGTCCGATCTGAGTAGGCGTTCCTACGACCCTTTGTCAACCGACAACGCCGCTGCATCTTATCGCGCGATCGTAGTCGGGGATCTCCCCATTCCGCCACGTACGGCCCTCGAGGCCATCGCTGTCGCTGCCGCTTGTTCAAGCGGAGAGACGCCAGGCTCCTTCCTCCCGTTACATCGACGGTTATAACTCTCCGCGTCGTTTTTTCCACGTTGGTTTACGTTGCCGCGACTTCGTCGTCGCTGTCACGCCGCCGCGCCGCGATCTGGCCCGCCGATCGCTTCGCCCGGCGATCGTGGTTGCGATCCCGCATCGATCAGAGATGGAAACTGGTTCAGATACCCGACCGGGATTTACATACGAACGATACGATACGCGTGGATAGAGGCGCAAATCTGATTTATGTGTTTCGATATTTTTCGAACGGTTAATTGTATTCGGCAGCGGCAATAAATCGGTTAATATTTATGGATTCAACTACCTGCGAACGTCGCTGATTTATGTTTAATTAGATAGGAGAAATTACAGTCTTTCCACTTTTATGCATGCGATATTACAGATAGAAAATATCTCTGATTTTTCGTTATGTTCGCATATAGCTGATAAACATGTTAAAACTTTCTTTGATACATTTTTATTATAAAGAAACAAGCTCACAGTTTAGATATCTATGGAAATCAGTTGCTTCATCTTTTTTAAGATGGATCGGTCGTTTTCTAACATCGCGGTGCACAACTGCGATTCATGTCAAGGGCTCGCGCTATCGATTCGCTGTATCGCCGACGTTCAACGACAGCGTTGAAAACGCTCTCTCGAGCGTTGGCCGTAATCGTCGAAATAAGATATCGGATTTGAGACTGATGGTTGATCCGCAAAGTCTGCTAGTCGACGCCACTTGAGGAGCCTTAACTTCCTCGGAGATTCCATGGCGGGCGGAGAGAGAGAAAGAGCGATGGACGCCCTCCGAAAGTGAAGTACATCCGCCATTAATCTAATATTGCGGTCGCCGCCGCCCTCGACGTTGCGTGCTGCAGCCCGGCCGTGTCAAGCTTCGCTCCCTTTGAACGAATGGACTCGCGGCGAGGGCACGTGAGCGCGTACATACATACATATATAGACGCGCGCGCGCGTTGTGTACACACGGCATCGGCGGCGTGGAGAAGAAGGAGGAAATGGAATGGGCGCGATGTGTCGGTCGCGCTAATGCGAAATCAATGCCCGGGTTAGCTCGCGAGGTGTGACGAATAAAGTGGATTACCACTCGCACCTTCTTGGACTTGCCGCAATCGAGAGGGCGACTTTCCGCAGCGCGAGTCGGAAGATATTAATAAATTACCCAACGATTGCAAAACGCGAACAACAGCCACTGACAGATATTGATGTCAATGGATATATTGTTTGGAACGGAAAAAAGAGCATTTTGACATATGGTTAATGGTTGTGTGCTGTCATATGTTTTAGCTTTAACGACGGCATTACGCGTCAGAATATTTCTATTCTATCTATCAATAGATGTCGTAAATGAGATAGAGATAAACATACTTTACGGGCCATCTATTTGAATAAACATATCGCTTTTTACGGAAATTTAAGTAAATTATATCGACTCCAGTCGTGCCGCAAGCATTATTGTGCGTGCTATCATTCAAGAACTACCCCGCGTAATCCCTATATCTCCACGATTATTATATAGGCGATTATTACGCGTTGCGTAATTTCCGATGATGGACTTTCGCCGATAAGGACTAAATGAAGCTACGGTTCTCAGAATCAACACGCAATACATATATGAATATACGTGTGATCTGGTACATCGCATGGACAGCGCGGCGGTAACATCGTTGGTTAACCAGCAAAGAGCGGTATCACGCTCGGTTTTAACACTCATGATCGGTCGATCTGCGCGCACGCGAACTCGGATCGAAAACGCGTCGCTCGACACGACAGACGTCACATGCCTGCATATTATATCGAGCCGATGATCACCGGGCTGTCTTCCCGGCGGAGAGTGACTCTCAATATATGACGACTTTTACGATCCTTCGTAAGTCGGTACTCTCGATAATCTATTTTTTTTCGCGCGAAAAAGTGATGTCAGCTGTGTGAGAGCCAGAGAAGTCACAGCTTGAAAGTGTGAAACAGAAATGTTTCTCTTCGATTGCCATAGAAAATCAGCTTTCGACAATGAAACTCTTCAGTGGACGCGCACATTCAAAAGATGATGTACTACAATAATAATTGTGAAGATTGTTAATCGCTTGACACATATGTTCGTCTCTTTAATAGATGCATAGTTTGTTTAAACGTACGCAAATATTGTTAAATAATTGATTAATTAGAGGCCATATGTAATTATAATAGCGATAACGGTAAATTAGGTTGATGTGAATATTTTATCATTTGAGATCTCAAATATATTACATTCGCGTGATATAACACGAATAACCATTTAATTC